CAGGATGTTGGGGGAGATTACATTTCTGGGGCTTATTGGGGGGTATGCAGGGTAATTTGGATGAGAAAGAAACTGGGAGCATGTCGGAAAATCTCCTAGCTGGCAGAGATCTAGAGGTGAGTCAGTGGGGCCTGAGCTGAGATTGTGGGCCTGTAAAATGTGGAGAGACGCTGTGAAGATAAAATTCTGAGATTAATAAAAGCATGTGCCATGGTGCTTGTTAGACTTTTATTCATTTGCTCTGTTATCGTTATGATGCAGATGAAAATGATCTGTGACTTGCTTGGGTTCTCAGAAGCAGCATTTATGCTGTATTTAATCAAGTCATCATTTCTCTAAGGAGTGCGTGTGTTTTAAGTAGCATATAGATCGCATTTCTTCTCTATTGAAGAAAGTCTGATCTTATTGATCCAATGTTTTATGACCCCAAAGGCCCTTTCTTAACAGGATCTCACGTTTGCAATCTGTAATACAACAGGCATTGTATCACAAAGTGTTAATGCGGCTGAGTAGTGACCCTGTCTCCAGGCCGTCTCCTGGTAACAAGCCTCTTTTTAATGTAGTATCAGCAGATACATTTTAAAAGTAGGATAGATGGTTCAGTTAAGAGGGTTTTATCATCAGTGTCTCTGGTATTCAAGTGAAATAAATTAAGTTAATGGGAAGCTCTTTTATAGCCTGTCATGGAAAAAAGTACGTAATTTCTGTCACAATTTGCATGTATGGAGCTGAAAGAACAAACGATTAGCAACATTTATTCTATCATGTTCTCATAAAGTTCCAGCTAGTAGGGTATAGCAAATTGAGTCCGACGTGAGATGATCGTAGGGAGAAATACAAATTTTTGTTGTGAGTTAGGGGCCCTGATAAGCAGGGTGTGGATGCTGAGGTGCTCTGACAGCCTGTGACGTTTCACAACATCTGGGTGGCCGCCTGACCTTCTCACTCGGGCTTGCCTATTTGGGAGCCCATGAGGCACAAAGAGACGGTGGGTGGCAGACACCTTCTCGGCTTTCTGCTCCAGGTGGGAGGAGAGTTGTTGTAGTTGGGGAAGGGCTGAGCGTCCACCTTACACCCAGAGTGAAAGTTCACAAGCTTCAGGCCACAGGTTTATTCCCAGTTGAAAGGTTTCCACTCGCCAGCGGTCACCTGTGCCTCTCGGCGTCTGTTTTTCTGTCTCGAGGGTCCCCTGCTTTGCAGGAGGCTGTTTGACCTGCTGCCTCAGGCCCTCTCCACTGTTCCCTTAAAGCGAATCTTGGTAACCACCAGTACCTGCTGCTTTGTGTGCTTGCATTCCTGTTTACGTCTTCTCCCCTGCCCCATTAAATGGTCCTTCCAGATCTACACCGTGGTGACTTGGCAGGAATGTCTTAGGCCTGGATTTGTGCTGGTGACAGCTGTAAGGTCCCCAGTGAGGTGGCAGTGCATCAAAGACAGCACCCTTCTGCAGAGGCAGAGCAAGCAGTTGCCAAGTCATTCGATTAGAGGAGCACAGGGAACCCCAGTTCCCTCCACGAGGGATGGTGTACGTGCACACATGCTCTGTCTCCACCTGGGAGCCTGGTGCACCCTGAAAACCCAAGGCTTGGTTTGTGTAAAGCTCCTTTCTCTTTTTAAGCTGCGAATTCTCCCAAAGGGGGTACTGCACAAAGCCACCAGTGTGTTCACTTAAATTATTTAATCAGATCATTTTCCTCCTGGAGAGCACTGTGAGGCGGCTTGGTGCAGAATGATGGTCCGCAAACCTTTTGGTCTCAGGACCCCTTTACACTCTTGAAAATTGAAGACCCTGATGAGCGCTGTGGCATTTGTCTGTAGTTCCAGCCACTCCAGAAACTGCGGCACAAGGATTGCTTAAGGAGTTCAAGGACAGCCTGGGCAATATGGCATGACCCCATCTCTTAAAAAAAAAAAAAAAAGACCCCCAAATCTTGTTTATTTGTAGGTTGTATTGATATTTATCATATTAAAAATTGAACTGAAAAATTAAATTATTAATTCATTTAAGAATAATAAATCACACATTATCAAAGTAACATTTTTAATGAAAAATAATCTTTTTCAAAACAATCAGTGAGAAGACTGACATTATTTGACAATTTTTGCAGATTTCTTTAATGTCTGTTTTAATGAAAGACAGCTGTACTCTCATGTCTGCTTTTGCATTCAGTCTGTTATGATGTGTTCTTTTGGTGAACATACGTAAAGAAAAGGTGCCTTCATCACAGATACGGAGTTGGAAAAGAGAAGCATATGTCTCATAGACTTTGCAGGTAATTCTGGACATTCTCCTTTGATATTACACCAAAACTTGACAAATGTACTTTCTTAAAATGTTATTAGTGTGGAGTGGAATCTGAAACCATGTCTGTGAGCTTTTTGAACTTTGTTTCACCAAAATATATCAGCCTTTCTTATACTTTCAATGGATTTTGTAATATCATGTACGGCTCGGTTTGGACAATTTTAGTTGAGTTATACAGGTCTTTCAAAGGTTGACACGTTTCATTGTACAATATCAAAAAATTATATTCATTACTATTCCCACTGATTGGTATCAGATGTAATAGTTTCCCACAGTTATAATTTTTCCTTGAAAGCCTGGATTTTGTCATTGGCAACAACTATTACAAGTTGTTTTCCTCGAAGTTACAGGTTTCATTCATTTTCAAGAAAATATATGCCATTTACCCAGTTCTGAATAACCACAGTTTATCTGGTAGTTGTTTGTTCAAGTAAAAATGGTATTCTGTGCGAAAGTTCAGTTCTCCGTTCAAACCACTGCCCCTGTGCTTGTCCCAAGACAGCCATCCTACTTTGGGAGAAGTGCAATTTCGTCAGAAACAGTGTTAAAAATATGTGTTGTAAAGGTTGAAATTTAGTGAAAATTAATGCTTTTTATTGCTTCATCAAGGATATTAAATGAAATGGCTTTTTTCTTTTTAAGCTGAGCAGGTGTGGTGGTGCACAGTGCAATGGGGAGAACCATTCTGCTCTGCAGCCTTGACTTGTGCTAAGGCACCTCTATTGCATTTGCACCATCAATGCGGTGTCAGCATGATGGAAAATGTCTCGGTATTATAATGATGGGGTTTTTTTTGTTTTTTTTTTTGGTTTTGTGTTTTTGAGACAGGGTCTTGCTCTGTTCTCAGGCTGGAGTGCATGATCATAGGTCACTGTAACCTTCAAACTCCTGGGCCCAAGAGATCCTTCCATCTCAGCCTCCTGCGTAGCTAGGACTATAGGCATGTGCCACTATGACCCAATAATTTAAAAAAATTTTTTTTCATGGAGACAGAGGCTTGCTATGTTGCCCAAGTTGGTCTCAAACTCCTGGCCTCAGGCAGTCCTCCCACCTCAGCCTCCCAAAGTGCTGGGATCACAGGTGTGAGCCACCGTGCCTGGCCATGACCATAGTTTTGATTTCATGGAATCACCCCATGGGGGACCCTTGGGATCTTTGGATCCTGCTTGAGAATGTGTGGTGTGTAAGGCTGACTCTGGAGTCAAAGACAGGTTGGAGCGTTGTCACTGTTGCTTATTATGCTGGCCATGGGACCCAAGTGAGGCAACTTAGCTTTTCTAAGCCCTTATCTTTTTATCTAGAAAATGGAGATATGAGCTTCTTTGATGGATTGTTGCGAGGATTAAATGAGAGAACTGAGGGAGTGTGCCTTCTGTGGTACCTAGTATGGAGTGGGCACTAATAAAGGTTGTTTTCCTTTCTTTCCTTCTTGGGGCTTTGTGAAGGTACTAGGGATGGGGAAGGTGGAGGTGGTGGAGAGATGGAGAGGAAGGGCCTGTTGGCTGTGGGGTGTGCCTAGAACCCAGGCAGAACTCTGGCAGAGTGCTCTTGGCAGCTCCCTCCTTTGCACCGACTCTGAGAAGGCGGAGAAGACAGGCAGAGAAGGCCGAGTTTCCTGCAGCTGCTCATCTTGGGTGGGCTCTGTTCCCTGGGCCCATCAGTTTTGTGTTTCATCCAGAGTGCTGGCTTCTCTAAAAACAAGCATGGTCTTCAGATTGCTGTCACCTGAGCATCCGGGCTCTTTAGGAATGATCCTCATTCATCTTCAGAACTCTCCAGGGCAGTGGAGTAGGAGCAGAGCAGCAGTTGCACGTGGCCACGCTAAGTCCACGTTGGCTCTCGGGACTGGGGCCACGGTAGGCTTTTCCTGCACATGAAGTTATGTTTCAGGGAACTTAATTGGATTTGTGATTTCGCCAAAGCCTCGTGTTAATAGCAAATAACACACTTTAAAGCAGCTGTCATTTAGCAGGAGAAGGCCCTCATCTGCTCCAGGAAGTGGGCTGAAGGAAGCCGGTTGGAGTGGGCAGGCACTCCCGCCATGCAGTGGGTGGGGCTCACCCGCAGGCTCCTCTGTGCCAGTCCTCTCCGTTCTGAGGGGCGAGGGTGGGGGCTGTAAGTTGGTGGTGGTTTTCCCCTTCTGTGTGAATGTCCTGGTTGTGAACATTTCCTCGCATTCTATTGGCAAAATTGTATTTCAAGCATTACCTTGATTAGCTATATGGGAAATGGGGTGGAGAGAAGCTAAAACAGTTTCTTAAACATTCTTAAACATCTTAGATTATTCTATTTTAGTTTCTGAAAAGACCATTTGGATGTTTTCTTCAGCAAAATAGGCATATGGTGTTTTACACAGTTTACTGATTCCGTAAGGCCTGTTGTGGACGTTTGTGGTAGGTTTGTGGGAGTGAAAGTTGTCGGTGGACTAGGAATCAGAAGACAGGCCCTTCTCCCAGCTCTGACACTGTATGTTGTCTGACCTTGGGCAAGTCCCCAACCTTCTTGGACCTTAGGTTGGTGGCCTGCAAAATGGAGCAAGTGTTGGTCACTTCTTGCTTATGTCACCAGGGGTGTCCTGAGGGTCAGCTGAGAGAATGCTGGTAAGCTGCTTTACAGCCTAAGTACAGGTATTGGCATAACAAACGGCACTGATGACCAAGCTCTGACCCTCCTAATGAAATATTTTCTTTCTCAGTGATGTTACAGCCTTTCGATTATGATCCCAATGAGAAAAGTAAACACAAGTTTATGGTTCAGTCTATGTTTGCTCCATCTGACACTTCTGATATGGAAGCGGTAGTAAGTACTGAATGCTTCTTATTTTTTTCAGTAATAGTCATTTAAAAAACTGATTAGTTATAGAATTAATTGTGGGTGCATGCATTTCAAAATGTGTCAAATTGTTTAAAGGGGAATGATGTTTTCAAGGAGATTTGTACTTTGACTACCTTTGTGGTTTTTCTAAAACTTCGATGAATAATTTTAATATCTTATATAACTTCCTTGAGTAGTATTCTTTTCTGACTTTTATAAACTCCATTTTCTTAGCAGTTTCTTGCTCTGATAGATTTTAGTGTAAGTGGTTGGGAATCCCTCCCCCACCTCACTCCCCACAGAAAATGGTACTTTTCATCTTAGGGGCTGTTTCTTACCTGTCTTCCTGTCTGCCCACACACCCAGAGGGTTGTGGGAGTGTTGATTCTGAATATCCTTCCTGACTTAGGCTGGCTTTTTTTTTTTTTTTTGCTTGGTTCTAGTAAGCACGAGTATTTGTTTTTCCCTAGATGCTTGTATTTTTCCCCTTGCTTGTTTAACTACATACATGTTTAACTTTGTCTCTAATTTTGGTAAAATTAAGATGACTTCATTTTTATAAAATAAATAAGTGATATTATATTATTGATATTTCTGGACAAAAAGAGGTTATAATGGAAATTCTCCCCAAAGTAAGCTTTTTATATACTTGAAAAAATCCACGGGCATTCTGGTGCCGTGAGTGTGAGTCCAAATCTATAGACAAGCTTAACAGTGCACGGCGCTGCAGGGAGAGCCTTGCAGTCCTCACGGCTGGGGAGAGAACAGGGCTGCCTTGGACCACTCTGCCGCCAGCCTAAGCAGCAGACCCAGGTCACCCAAGGCATGTCTGCCGATTTGAGTTAGCTGTCCCACGCGATGCTGTGGCTTTGCTCTTGTCCGAGTTTTATACCAAAGGCTGCTTCACGCCAGGCCCACCTGTGTCCCTCATGTTGCCACACAGCCTTTTCATTTAGTTCTAGAAAAGTGTAACTCACCATCTCCACTGATGTTTCACTTATAAGCAGAAAATGAAGGGAAAGCCAGATATTTTTGAGTTTGAGAGAGATCAGTGATCACAGGCCATCTTCTTTTCGTAAGAGCAAATGATTGAGGCATTCATTACTTTCTCTTTTATTTTCTGGAACATGATGTGTCACTTCATGTTCATTTATGTGATCAAGGAACATTTATGTGATCAAGGAAAGGTATGGCAGATGCAAAATATGGAATATCCAAGAGTATGCTCTGTTTGGCTTTTGCTGCATGGCGTAGTGAAAAGAGCATGGCTTGGGTGTCTTGGTTTTGAAGCTGAGTTCTGCCTTTTACTAACATTATGGCTGGAGCAGGCTTCATTAACCCTCTCAAGGTTTTGGTCATTTGTAAATTAGGGATAGAAACACAGCTGTCACGATGGTGAGGATTAAGTGTGCCTTGTGTAAATCCTAGTCCGGTCTGTGACACTTGTTTATCAGAGTATAGGCTAGGCACTGCACATACACTAAAGAGCCGTTCAATTTCCTTGGATGATTATTTTTATAACAGTTTAAAACAATTTTTATATAAAATGTACATTGTAGGAAGTTTTAGAAATACACAAATGACAAAAAATAAAACTAAAAGAGACCTGTAATTCTTTCATACTAGAACTTAACTGCTATTAATATTAATGGGAGCCTGGTGCTTTTTCTTTATTTTGAAATATTTTAATTTTAATATATAGAAAGTTGAAAAAATAGCACTGTCCACTTTACCTATATTTACCATTTGTTAACTAACATGTTGCCACATTTACTTCTTTTCTATCACAGATTTTCTTTTTTGCTGAACCATTTGAATTTAAGATGCAGACTTTATGACACTTCACTCCTAAATATTTCAGAACAAGGACAGTCTGTTATATAGCCACAATGCTATTAATTATAGCTGAGGAAATTAACATTCATTCAGTATTATTACCTAATAGACAAATTCATATTTATCATTTTCCAGTTGTTCCAAAAATGTCCTTTAGTTGTTCTTATTCTAGTAGAGGACCCCTAACCGTTTTTGTTTTTCAGACTTTGAATTTTTTAGAGTCAGACCAGTTGGCTTGTAGAATGTCCCATATTCTGAGTTTTTCTTATTTTCTCTTGATTCAATTCATGTTAAGTATTTTTTGGCAAGAATATTCCATAGTTGATATCGTGTGTACATCACAGCAGGAGGCATTTCATGCCAGGTTGTCCTTCTATTTGTGACACTGTTTGATCACGTGGTTAAGATAGTGACTACCAGCTGTCTCCAGTGTCAAAGCTCATTTGCCCCTGTCGCTAATAGGTATCTGTGATACTCTGAGTCATCTGATACTTTGAGACTACGTCAACATCCTGCTTGCCAGCAGTCTTTCAACGGGTGGTTTTAGCATCCAGTGGGGATCCTTGCCTGATGTTCTTTTGACACACACACCCACACACACACCCCCCACAGCCCCCCCCACACACACACACACAGGTGCGTGTGTGCAGAGGAGCAGGCTTCGATATTGTCTGTAGTTTCTTCACCGATATTGTTTGTAGTTTCTTCACTTAATATTCTGGACTTTTCCCCCATGTAATTGAATGCTCTGCAGCATCATTTGAGTGGCAGCATGCTATTCCATTGAATGGATCTACCATAGTTTATGCGGCAGTCCCCTAGTCTTGGTATCTATGTTGCGCTCGCTGCCTCCTGCATAGTTTTGGGGAGGAGCGGGGGGGGGGGGGGTTGCCTTTTTTTTCTGTGTTATGTAACCTTGCTGCCATGCTAGTCTGCGATACTCAGAACACCTTGGAGTTCCCATTTTCCGCTGCCAAAAGGAGTTGTAAACCAGGAGTGCATCCTCCTAGAGCATGGGATTTAGCTAGGAAGGTGCTCTTACCACAGACGGGAGGGATAGGTGTGGGCCCTCAGGGCGGAGGCAGCCCAGATGCAGCCACAATGGCAGAGGGGGGCTAGCTAGTTAATGTGCTCTGTCAGTAGCTGCAGAGTTGTTCTATTGTGAAACCACTCCCAGGTAGTATGTGCTTGTACTCCCTAAGAAAGGTATACTCTGTAAAGCAACTTTTATTTCCTTAAGAAAAGCCAAAGTTACCTCTGGTCATCCACACGTGATTTAGAGAGTCCCTCTGTGCTCAGCAGTGGTCCCTTCTCCTGCACGTGCTTCCCACAGACCACCACACCGAACCCTGGCTGGCTTTGGAGGAGGCAGGCAGCAGGATGTCAGGGCTTGTGAATTGTAATAAATATTCAGGAAAGCTAGTGTATTTAATCTTGTCATGTTAAAAATATCGAAATCTCAGCAGACATAAGTTCTTTATTTGATATACATCAGAGCTTTCTCATTAAGAGTATTTTTCTGAAATTGTCAGTTTTAGGAAGAAAATTATTCTTCCAACAGCTTTATAATATCTTGATTATTAAATTTAAATTGTTCTAGTGGAAGGAGGCAAAGCCAGAAGACCTTATGGATTCAAAACTCAGATGTGTGTTTGAATTGCCAGCAGAAAACGATAAACCAGTAAGTATGTTTATAGTTAACAATAATTGAATGTTGCAAGCTGATACTTATTTGCATACCATCTCCTGCAAAACCAAGATTTAAGTTGGCAAATTATTTTCCTCCCTCTGGTGTCTGAAGAAAAAAAATAAGCTGAAGTCAACAAATAAGTGGGCCTTTATGAAATCAGCCTTTGAAAGACTTTCAGAAAGACAACTAATTGAACCAATTTTTCCCCTTGAAAAGTGCAACCCGATGGTTGTTTGAGATGTCATAAATCCTGAAGAGCTTGTTTGGCTTGGCAAAGTTATAGGTTGCTGTTAAACAGTGGGTGAGACTAAAACGGAATAATTTGCCCTTTATCACAGTGCTAGGTGGTAAGCTCTTAGTTTCTGCTGTTTTACAAAGTGCCCCTGTCAACACCACCTCTCCCTACCCACTTACTCCACTTATCTCTTCAACCAAAATCTGCTTTTAGATCAGGATTTCTTAGCCTCAGCACTGTTGACGTTTTGGGCTGGACAGTTCTGTGTAGCGGGGCTGTGCTGTGCACTGCAGGGTGTTCACAGCATCTAAGTACCTCGCCACTAGACACCAGTGGCACTCCCCAGCTATGACAGCTAAAAATGTCTCCAGATACTGCCACATGTGTCCTCGAAGAGGGTGCCTCCCTGAACTGAGAGTGACCTGAGTCTTGTGCTACAGAGGGGGAGGGGGAGGGGACCCCTCCCCCAGGCTGTCAGCTCACTTTCTCTTTGCCTGAAGACAAGGGATATGCCTGTCATGGTCTTCACTTGTGACCAGTTGAATAAAGGAGACTGTATCTGAAATGCTAATTTGGACCTCCCTTCAACCTAGTCAAAAAAATTTAAATTGTATTAAAAACACAAAGAATTTAAAACACACACAGAATATAAACGACCCTGGCCATTAATAGCTAGAGTTGGGAAATAGAAATGCTCTGAAGCATTCTGTTAACATTTTCCATAATGATCTCCAGGAATGCTGTTGATTTGTGTCAAAACTACACAGTTATTTTCTTTCTGCTCGATAATTGACCACTATCATTATCATGTTTCTTTGGTGGATAGAGTCATTTTTTTCCCCCTTCCCAGAGTATATTTTGTCATGGGAAGGTCAGTTTGGAAGTGGTGAGAACTATATTCTGGTCCCAGCTCTGTGATAGGTTCTTCCCCCCCAGGGCCACACTCTTCTTATTTGGAAAATAAAGGGCAGAGCCAGATGCCCCATCTTCAGTCTGCTACCCAGAACCCCCAGGGTAATGACCCCCAGGCACCACCCTCTGGCATATCTGAATGCTTCCGTGCCCTCCCCCACTGACTGACTCTCATCCCCAGTAACTCTCAAGAGAGTGTCCTAGCACAGCCTTGGCAGGGGACATGGGGGTGTATGTGGCTTCCCCAGATTGAAACCTTAACAGACATTGAGCTTGGTTCACCTTCATCCCAGCTTCCAAGTTCTAAGTTGGTAAAATAAATTGCCCTCTATGTAACGTTCTCCCTGGCCTCCCTCCCCCACCCAGCCAGTCCTGGGGATGTTCGCATCTTCCTGGTGACAGTAATTTGTGGCTAATAATTCCTGAGCTTGCACAATTACAGTATGCTAATTTTTGCATGGCAGGAATTTGATAGTGCAATATGCACAGCCCTTTTTCTCTTTCTTTGAAGTATTAGTCTCAGCCGAACTTCATTATTTGCCCTTATCCATAATTTCTAGGGCCCAGTTGCTTTAGATTATTAAGATACTAGATAAAGTGATCCATTTTTAAAATAAATGTGACATTTTACAGTGTGGATGAAATGCTACCACGTTTGGTGTTTGCTGAGAACTACTTTACTTTGCATAAAAAAGTCCTTTATTACATGGTTGGTGACACTTGGGCTTTCATTTATTTCTGAACAGCATGATGTAGAAATAAATAAAATTATATCTACAACTGCATCAAAGACAGAAACACCAACAGTGTCTAAGTCTCTGAGTTCTTCCTTGGATGACACTGAAGTTAAGAAGGTGATGGAAGAATGTAAGAGGCTTCAGAGTGAAGTTCAGAGGCTACGGGAGGAGAACAAGCAATTCAAGGTAATGCAGTTTATTTTCTGATAATCTAGAACAGGGGCAATTTCCCTGGGATCTTGGGTGGGGAAGTTGATGAACCCCCGAATTTATAGGGTTTTTTTGTTTGCTTGTTTTTGGTATTTGCTTATTTTTCCTTAGCAGGGAGAAATTTCCATAGCTTTCATCACGTTCTCACATTAAGAATGACTGTCCCTTGAGCAGAATTTTCTCAACTATTTAAATTTTTGAGAATTCTATTCTCAAAGCAACCTCCCACATCCATTAGTATAAATTGAAAATAAATTTTGAGACTTAAAACAGCAGTGTTTTGTTTTTGGGGTTCTTTTTTGAGACAGAGACTTGCTCTGTCACTCTGGGTTGAGTGCAGTGGCATTATTGTAGCTCACTACAACCTCAAAGTCCTGAGCTTAAGTAATCCTCCTACCTCAGCCTCCCAAGTAGCTGAGACTTCAGGCACCCGCCATGACGCCTGGCTAATTTTTCTATTTTTAGTGGAGGCGGGGTCTCACTTTTGCTCAGGCTGCTATCAAACTCCTGAGCTCAAGTGATCCTCCTGCCTCGGCTTCCCAGAGTGCTGGGATTACAGGCAGGAGCCACCCCACCCTGGACAGCAGTGGTTATTTTGAATATGCATTTTTATTTTATTTATTTTATTTTTTATTATTTTTTTAAGACAGAGTCTCACTCTGTTGCCCGAGCTAGAGTGCTGTGGCATCAGCCTAGCTCACAGCAACCTCAAACTTCTGAGCTCAAGTGATCCTCCCGCCCCATCCTCCCAGAGTGCTAGGATTACAGGCGTGAACACCTGGCCTGAATATGTATTTTTAAACCTTTCTCTGTCCCCATTAGTTTGAGTGAGAATCTCTGTAAGAGGGTAATGTACTCTGTTTTAACACAGTTCTGGTTTTTAAAGCCTCTAAGTAGATCTGGGCAGTCATTGGCTTATCAGACTGTTGATGTGGTGATAGGACTAGAAATGGGATGCTGTCCCAGTAGATAGGAGGTGGAGATTATAGAAGAGGCTCTGGCTCATTGACAAGCATTTGCACTGGCCGCGGAAGGCCGGCCTGTGCTAGGGGGTGAAGGGAGGCCTGTGGTGTGGAAATGACTGTGACCTGTTGGAACTGGCTGTGAGTCTGTGCTAATCACAGCATCTCCTAGGCTTCCGTTTGCCGAACACCTCTAAGGCCCCTTCCAACGTGGAGAACATTCCCAAATATCACCTTATAGAAACTTTGTTGCAGCTTAAATTTTTAGACCTATCTGTTCTCTTCATCTTGATCATGCCACCCAAGCATGTAATAGGCTTTCACTCTTTAACTGCCATTCCACCAGGCACATATAATAAATTCATGTAAGTTGACTTTTCCTACTTTTTTATTCTGACAGTGAGGTAGATATAGGAGAACTGACGGAGTTTGGGAAATGGCATCATCCTCTTCCTTTGCAGTAATCTTGATTTGCCTCATTCAGGAACTTCTTTAGTCTAGAGTAAATTATGAAGCTGACACTGTACTTTCTAGCTGAAAATCTGAGCTTAGCCTGCAGCTTCTCCTCGAGTCTGTTTCTCTTCAGAAACAGAGTTCTGTGCCATTTAAAGTGATAAATAGATAGAAATAGCTTCTATATAAACCCAATAAAATAAATGCTGTAGTTTGCTGTGCCCTTTTTTTTTTTAAAGTTAATCGAACAACGCCAGTCATTTATCACTGTGCAGTGTTATTGTCCATGCCCCATGAGCAGCATATCTTTAAAATATTATCAGGCCACTCTTGACGTTAGAAGATTGTTTATCCTGCTAAACACTGATTTCTTGTTTTGTGTTGATTCATTCTTTCCCTTGGCCAACAGATTTACTGAGGGTCTAGTATGTGCCCAGCACTGTGGGTTCAAACGTGAGCAGTCCCTGCCCTTGAGGAGCTCCCTCTTGAAGGGGTAGCAGAGAGAGACAGACACAAATAATTACAACCCAGTGTGGTAAATGTCCCTTAGTGATAGCAACAAATCGCAGGAAAGGTCAGCTCCATGGGCTTGTCTGCCTGCGGACTCCAGGACCTACTAGGTACTACAGTAAATGTAAGTGAATTGAAGGAGAAGAAGAAGAGAAAGTAGAGCTGGTGTGTGGAGTTCAGGGACAAGTCGATAGGGAATTAGTGAGAGATTTGGCTGTAAAGATGAATCTGGGCCCTGGGCCATGCATTCCCCTCTTCGGGAGTGTGGGCTTGGCCTTGAGGGCATGGAAGTGGCATCGTAGGTCTAAAGAGTGACTTGCAGGTTCTTAAGGCAGTGCAAGGCAATGAAGGCGCAATGGCAGTGGAGGTGAAAGAATAAAAAAGTTTCTATTCCTTACACATCCTCGTAGTTGGGGGGGAAATGTGGTCAGTTACCTGTATATGTAGGAAAAAGGATGTTGCTTCTTTAGTGAGAAATTCATGCATTCAGTAGAAAATATTTGAGTATATCATTTGATCCAGCAAGCAGTCTGCGTGTAATTCATCAAAAGCAACTATGCACAGAGCTCTGCATTTGAAAGCTTCCATGTGTCCCACTTTGTAGATTGTTGTGATTTGTATATTTGCACCTTGGGAAATGGCTATGACTCAAAAATCAATGACAGCTTGATTAGGGAAGCCTGTTCATTACAGACAGCATTAGAGGCAGGAGGGACGGAGAGTTTGGGATCGGATGAAGCAGAGCAACTAGGAGACCTGGCCAAAAAGGTTGGGGGACAAGGGTGTAAAGGTCCTGGTCAACCCTCTTAAAAGCTTTTTTTCATCTAAGTCTTGGAGAACCAAGGAGTGCCTGCTTAGATTTGTGTCATAGAAAGGTACCTAGCTGCATCGTGTAGCACAGATGAAAGAAAAGAGGGGCTCTGGCTATAGGCCAGTCCCTTTCTCTGTAGGCTTCAGTTTCTCCATTTGCAAAATGAGGCTGGACTATATCATATCATCCAAGCCTGGGTGTAAACAGCCCACCCTGTTGGGCTGTACAGTGGATTCACCTTTCTTTCTTGTGCCTTGGGTCCTCTTTGAAATGTGCATTTGCTCCTGTAGGAAGAAGATGGACTTCGGAGGAGGAAGACGGTGCAGAGCAACAGCCCCATCTCAGTGTTGGCTGCAGCTGGGAAGGAGGAGGGCCTCAGCACCCGTCTGCTCGCGCTGGTGGTTTTGTTCTTTATTGTTGGTGTAATTATTGGGAAGATTGCCTTGTAGAGGCAGCATGCAAAGGATGGTAAATTGGATTGATGGATCCACCATATCATGGGATTTAAATTTATCATAACCATGTGTAAAGAGAAATTAATGTATGATGACATCTCACAGGTCTTGCCTTTAAATTACCCATCCCTGCACACACACTACACACACGCACATATAATATAACAATCTTTTAGAAAGTTAAAAATGTATAGTAAATGATGGGGGGAAAAAGAATAATCTTTATTAATGATGAGGGAAACCATGATTAATGCCACAACGGCATATTGTAAATGTCATTTTAAACATGGGTAGGCCTTGGTACATGTTGCTGGATTACCTCTCTTAAAACAAGACACTCTTCCACGCCTGTTGGTGCTGGCATGTGGGAGCCGGAGCCCAGCACAGAGGGGAGTGCGGTCGGCTCCACGCAGTGGTCCCACGCTGCCCACACCCGCCCCAGGCTGCTTTTCCATGTCTTCAGTTCTGTCCAAGCCATCGGCTCCTTGGGACTGATGAACAAAGTCCGAAGCCAAAAAGAATTGCACTGTGGCAGCATCAGACGTACTTGTCATGGACGAGAGGCATGTGTTGACTGATTGACCCAGTACTTTGGAAATAAATGTCAATGCTTTGTTCTCTTAAAGGGACCAAGCTAAATTCCTGTTGGTTCATGTAGTGAAATCGAACTGTAATTCAGAGATGTTTAATGCATATTTAACTTATTTAATGTATTTCATCTCATGTTTTCTTACTGTTACAAAATCACAGTGAGTGCTACGCGCTCCCTAACGCCAGTGCGTGAAGCCGGCTTTGCTGTGGGAAGGCCGTGGCTCCTCTGTCTCCGGAGGTTCCGGGCATGTGGAGCTGGGGTTTGTCGGAATGTTGGAGAAGAGTGATCAGGAAGTGATTTTCAATGTCAATAAATAACAGCTATTGTAGGGAGGGAAATTCTTAGTGGTGACAGTCAACTCTAGGTTATTACCCTTTTTAATGGAGAAGAGTGTCAGTCTCCTAGATTGTTCTTTCACCACCTCTCAACTACCATGCATACTGCTAGTGCACAGGCCCAGGTGTGGTCCTGACCTCCGCTTGGGGCCCTGGCTTGGAGTCAGGACGAATGAATGAGGCTACAGGGGCCTGGGGGAGCGGGCACCGGCAGGTGGCAGTGGGAAATGGTGAGAGAGAGACTCCTCAGCTGATCCACCTAGTAGTAATTTAGAGTTTGACTGTGAATTAATTTTATGCCATAAAAGACCAATCCAATTCTGTTTGACTATGTAGCATCTTAAAAAGAAAAAAAATTACAATAAAGCCCCAAAATTAAGAGTTCTTTTGTCATTTTGTCACATTGGCTATATGGGGGTAATTATTTTATCATCTTTATTATTTTGCCATTGGAAGGTTGATTTTAAAATGAGCCCATATGTATGCTTAATGATTTAACTATACACATACATGTGTGCGTGCGCGCGCCTGTGTGTGTGTGTGTGTGTGTGTGTATTTTTTGGAGTGGGGAGAATTGGCTTTGAGGAGTATGAAAAATAAAACTGAAAATGCAAGCACCTAGTCACCTTTGGCCTTCCGTTGCTTTGGCCTGCAGTAAAAAGCAGCCTTCCTTTTGGGTCAGGGAACCATGCCACAGAGACTGGTGACAGCTGTGCTTGGTGTGACCCCAGTGGGTGCACAGGTTTGAGAGGACAAGTTTATCAAAAGGAGAACACTTCTAAGACACATACCTCACGCCACACTGCTCCTGAGCCTGGCTTTGGCGCCTGGGTCGGGGCCTTGACACTGGCAAAGTGGAAGTCTGCGATTGGCCTGAGTAAGTGACTTCCATCTTCAAGGAAAGAAGTTGATGACAAACCCCAGGGGTCTAACCGAAATGTCTGTGGCTGGGACTGTGTTGAGCAGGAGGACAGGGAGGCCATCCAGTTGTACATTTGTCCCCAAGACCTCTTCCGTGTGGCCCCCAGTGCTTGTGAAAGGACTGAGCTCTAAGGCACATGCCTTCTGCCACCTAGTTTTCTTAGTGGACTCACTTGCCGATTGTAGGCCCTGTAGCAGATTCGTCTTTTTGTAGCTCCCAGTCCCTCATGGTCTTGAAAGAAGAGTGATTAGAGATGCTCCAGCAGCACCTTGGGGTGCACTGCAGTCCCATTATGCTAGAGCAGGGGTCTGTTTTTTCTTAAAGGATGTGGCTGTGTGTTCCAATCAAAACAGCGTGTGGGGTTTGGCCTGAGTCTATGACAGTTCTTAAAAAGAGTGCCTGGGAAACTATTCCGTTTAGGTCTTTGTAGGTGATTTAGGGTTTCGTGTATATCTAGGAGAAGGTGTGCAGCTTCTCAGAGGTTGTAGACATTTTGGTTGTAGCTAAAATTCAATTTTTAGAATCCACTTGTTTCTTCCTTCTAACTAATCATCCTCTGAAGTCTCTTTCCCTTCTAGAGATTAGGATGTGGTGAACACATGTTCGTTTGTGGGGCATTTTTAACTGAGTGAAAGAAGGAAACTCCCCAGGGAGAGAAGTTAGGCATTGGTGGGATGGTTGTTATTTTCTAATCAGCCTGATTAGCAAAGAACGTGCCAGAAAAAGAGCATGTGTGTGAAGCAACCAAGCACTGCTCCTTCATCAGAACATGGAGGTGCACACGCATTTGAATATCTTTTCTAGAATAACAGAAGGGAGAAAAATGAGAGTAAGGTAAAGAGGAGGTGACTGTGAGGCTGTGTCACAATGGTCAGAGAGTTGGGAATAAACTGGCCGGGAAAGAGCGAGGATGCCGGCCAGTGAGTGAGCCTGGCGGGTCGCAGGCAGGCTGCCCTCGCACCTGCTCCCGGGGGCCAGCACCTCCAGACGGCTGCCCTGGCTTTAGAAGTACCTACTGTAGTGCTCACAAATACAGAAGAGGTGGAAGGAATAACAAAGTCTCTTAAATTTTTATTGATTGAATTTTTAAATTGGTAATTTAAGCTTTCTTGGCATGATGCAAAATACCACTTAAAGACAGCAGGCTGTATTATTTGTAGGTGCGAGGAACTGGCTTTAATTTTTTACTCGTAGTTTGCATGTTTTCCCTCTCCAGTCTTCTAAACTGCTGGCACCAGCAGTAATAAATACTGATAAAATCAAAATTGATTTTTACCAGTGGACAGTTTATGCCTAGAGAGACAGCTTATACCCACATAACACAGAAGGGGGAAAAATGAAGAACCTCCAGTGATCCGTGAAAACCTAAACGCTTTCAAACAAATCCCAGGAACAGAATTGCTATCAAAAGATATCAGTGCCCAGCTTGCAGGCTGTGTTGAGTCAGATATAACTGAATGCAATGAGAGTGCAGAGCTAAATAGCCTTTCAAATTAATTTGGAAACAAGCTGTGTGTGTGTGTGTGTGTGTGTGTGTGTGTGTGTGTGTGTGTGTAGCATATGTACCATATGTTAAGTAGCTTGACAGTTTTCAAATGGTGCCTATATTTTTTGCATACACAAATCTTTGTAAACTCAGAATCCATGCCAGAATACAATGCTATTTGTCGTTTTCAGCTCCTTCCCTAAAGACCTGGCCCATGTACACATTTCTGGCTATGGTTTGTAAATTCGTGGTTTAAAAAGTATATATCAAAAGAAAGGGGTCTTGCGCTTGCCAGGCACTTTGAACACCTGAATAGCAATTTAACCTCCAAGACCTCAGTGGCGAGGCCACTGCCTCCCCTGCTGGAGGTGGCAGTTCACTGAAGGGCGTCTGGCTGCCGCGGCCCCTGTGGATCCTGGAGGGGGAAGAGAACTAAGCAAAACTGTGCGGCTAACCAGAAGTCACCATGGTGAGGAGACCTGTCTGTCTTAGGCTTGGGCCGTGTCTGCTGTGGCCGGGAGTGAGTGCTGTCAAGGTGAGTGGGAGTGGAACGGCATTCAGCAAGTCCCCTGGAAAGCGTAGACGGTGACTCCAGTTCATGGCACACAAACCACATAAGGCTGCAGTCAGTCTTCCGTAACACAGAGGGCAGCTCTGAAGCCACGTGTCCCCTATGCGAATTGGGTCCCTCAGGGTTTCTGTGGCCCGGTTGGATTTGAAGAAGGCTTTTTACCCTCTTCCTCCGCGGAGCTGCTACGATAGGAGCCTTTTAGAGAAAGTTGCTGTTGTTTCCATGCTACTCTCTGCCCGTGCAAAGCATTTCCAATACATTTGGTCATTGGCCTTAGTCATCACAGCAACCGTGACCAGGGGTTGATGGCTCTGTTTTTTACACATAAGGAAATGAAGGCTTCAGGAGGTGAACTTGGGCAGCTTTTTAGAACATCTCATTTAGAACCAACTCAGTCTCTGTGAAGGCTGCTAAGGCACTGTTTCAACTCTGAAAGTCGCTCCGGGGAGCCTCATGAACTGCCCCCAGCTCCTCCTCCCTTCTGTGCCCTTCAGTGCCTGCCCATGCACCCCATCCAGGTATTTTCACGCTCAAGTAGGTAGACTCAGGACTGTAGTTCAGATGCTTTTGCTTTCGGAAACTGAACACACTCCAGACAGTGAGGAAATGTGTATTTTCCATTTTCTCATTGCCTACAGATCTCTGCCCGATGCTCCTGGGGAATGAATTTGGGGGCTTTAGAAAGAAAATTACCAGTCTGTCTCAGTGAGGTGATGATGGAAATGCTTTATGTGGAGGCTTTACATAACTTGTAAATTAAATGTGAACGAGGGCAGTTCATTAAAATCGGCATTACAGAAGTGGCCTGCCGAGGTTTGCAAACAAGCCAAGCTGCTGGTATTTCAGGCCTCCCTGAATTAGCGCCACATTTCTTCAGGAAATCAGAAGGGAGAAAGCAATAGAAGAAAGACCCTGATAAAGAGCATCAGCTGAGAGGCGCTTGGGCGGCTGCGAGCATGGAACTGCGGCGAAGCTCACAGACCTCTGACTCTGGCCCCCGAGTCCCATTAGCCGTGAGCTTAGCACTGAGGCTCCGCCACCAAGAACATTCATTGGGGTGCATGAGCTCACCCACCCCTGTGCCAAGGGACCCAGACCTCCCTCTGTGGGATGTTTTTAGCTGTATCTACGGCACTTAACAATAGAGCTTTCAATTTAATTTATTTTCATTACAGAGATATTTTGAAAAATGTAAAAGACGCGAACTCACATAAACAGTTATGTATAATAGTTAAAAGGGAAACTGGTGGAGGTGGATGAGAGGTTGTCTCGAATGAATATAATTACTTGATTTTTTTCCTTAATGGAATTAATTCATTAGAAAATGTCTGCATCCAATCTGTAGAAAAGGAAGAAAAATCTAGCAACAAAAATATAGCTATTATCTAACTTGCCATAAATATTTGCAATTATGATACCTTGGAATGTTGCCACGATATGGATTGCTTTGATTAAAAGATGTCAGTTGAATAAAACAGTAATGTGGGGGAATTGTTTTCTGCTGCTAGATAAATGCTGATGTTTATTTTTAAACCAGGAAACATTGATCCTGTAACAATGCCCTATTACAATTGCTTTATTACACCACAGGGCTGATGTAGATTTAATCATTTGGCTAATGGATGTGGGTGCAGGACGGATGCTCGCTCGCTGTGCTGCTCTCCTGCCTGCACCGCGGTGCGCGAGGCCAGCGTCTGCGGGCGGAGTGGCTGCTGGCAAGCTCCTTTCGCTGATACCCACGCCAGGTCTGGCCAGAATGAAACAGGTTACCTTTCACTGCTTCCCTTCAGAAAGGCACCAAATACGGGAGACAAATCAGATATCTTAACACAATTTCATTAAGGTTTAGTGCTAGCAAGAATGCTGAGCTTTTTGTGATTTAAGAAGATAATAAATTAGTGTGCATGTTTCACATATCGACTTGCCGGTTTTCCACGTCATACAAAAAAGGCCTGATTCTTTTTATGAACTGGCTGCCTGCATTCCCATCTTTTTGTTTTTTAGAAGTCGACTGAATTCCGCTGTTAATCCTCTAGTGCAGCATTCATTAAATTTTTTTTTCCAGTGAGTCTTTTACATGGATTCAAAGGTCAGAATTTATTGTCTGTAATACTAAGACCATGTGTATAAGAACTGCTTTTTGCTTTTCATCATTCCCTCACTCGTGTAGCAAACATTCAGTCAGCACCTTCTATATGTTGTATACTATATGAGGTGCTGAGAAAATTAATCAAGGGGAGTGAATTTGTTTTTGTTTTTCATTCTTATGTAGCCTAAGTAAAATGATTCAAGCTTATACACAGAGAGAAAATGCAAAAATACATTTGGTTCTCATATGTATTGCTGGCATTTACTTTTTAAAGACAATTTATAAACTGCTGCCACTTGGAACTTCCTATAAGAAACTCAGAAGGATCTATTTAAATGTTCCCTTCACCTCTCTCTCTCCTGAGTAAAGAAATAAGAAGTTTCAATAATGCATGCTGTCCCTTCCTTGTTCTACATCTTTCTGTCTTGAAAAAAAGATCTCTGCGGTTTGTGATGTGTGTGTTTATTCTGTCTTCAATGTATGTCAACATTATAGGAATTGCATATTTTAAGAGATGTCTTAGAATGCTTTAGTTTTCATAATTTTTCCTTTATGTAATTTAATTTGTATTTCCTGTTTTGACATGGAAGTCATTTAAAAAGTTGATGCAGGAAAGGCCTCTGCCGTTGCACATGTTGGTTATCTGATGTGTAATAAATTCATGGTTTGACAGCTGACCTTGTGTTTCCTGGAGGGAAGGAGATGTATTTCTGCAGGATCCAGATCAAGAAAGCTACTCACAGCATGCTCTCACATGTTCCCATCAGCCTGACGAAACTCGCCCTGCCACGGCACACGCTTTTGTACTAGCTGTCTCCATATTATGTTCAATAAATTCTGTGCTCTGAATATACTTAAAGGATACTTCAGTGTAAAATTATTTGAATGGATGGCTTAAGAGCATTTAGATATGATTTGAAGAATGTACTAGAGCCCATTGTTCTTCTCTCTTACTGCTTCTTAGGAACATGAAATTGGTTTAAGTGAAAATCATAGATATTTTGCATTAGAAAAGCGATATAAGAGATGATTAAGGTCAAACTCCTCATTTTACTGATGAGGAAACTTTTGCCCAGAGAGTTTTAATTTAAGCACAGGGCCCAGCTCGTGTCCCACTGCCTTCATGTTGGGGGCGGCACATGCTGTTGATTTACGGAGTGCCCACCTGTGTAAATGACCTCCAACTTTGAAGGTGAGTGGCGGCTTCTGTCTTTAAGCAGTGGTTCGCAGTTCTCCATCTTACAATGTTATCTTTTTGAAATATTAATGAAAACAATTTTAACTTCTTTGGGAAAAGTAACACAGGCAAATGATAAGACTTCATATAAGACCAAAGGATATCAGTATAAAGTCAGTTTTCTTTCAACCCCAAACCCACTTGCTTTGTCCAGAGACATCCTGGATTTTCTATGTCTTGTTTGACTCTTGTACACAGAGATCCTCTGTGTGCATATATGTCTGTGTATGTACAACCCTTATATTTTCTTATATACAAGCAACAGTACTTGTTACCCGCTCTGTTGTTCATGTTGCTTTTTCAATTCTGAAATATGTCTTAGAACTCATTTCATGTCAGCCCACATAGAGCTGCTGTCATTCTTCTTGATGGCTCTATAGTTTTGCTGTGTGATGAGCCCATAATTTACTTAACCAGCCCTCTAATTGAGGTGCGTTTAAGCAGTTTCTAGTCTTGCTGCCACAGACAAACCTACTGTAGCAGACCTGCTATAGCCAACACCCCTATACATGAGCAAGAATATCACAGGATCAGTGCCTAGAAGAGACGGCTGGGTCACAGGGTGCCTGCGTTTTAAGTTTTGTTAACGTTGCCTTCCTTAGAGGATACACCAGTTCACAGCCCAGCCGGGCCTGCGAGGCTCAGCAGCTGTTCGTCTGTGTAAAGACCACTTGAAAGCACATGTGAAGGCCCGGAGTGAGGCAAGAGAGCAAAAGCGAATCACACACAGCACGGATGCCAGAGTGGCAGAAGTTATGAGGCTAAGGGCGCACGATCGTGAATGTGGAAATAGGAATCTACCTCGTTTTACTAATAGGAAAATTACTTGCAGCAAAGGGTACAAAAATGGATTGGGCAGGGGGAAATAAGCTTTTATGGCCAGCTGCTGGAGCTGTGACCCCGGCCCTGTGCGGGCCACCTCACCACCGCCCTAGTCCAGATGCTTAGGCGCCATGCGTGCGCCCCGGGGGGGCCTTTTAACCAGGGCCTTCGCAGAGGATGGGGACGAGGCAGATGTCAGCGTCCCACACCACGCGGGAGCTTCTGTGGGAGGGACGGAAACGCGGCTGTGGTCTTTAAAGTGTTAAAACCCAAGCCGAGAAGGAGATTTCTAAACAGCAGCACGAGGAGCTATTCTGAAGAAGTGACCAGGCTGATCTGCCATTATCTTTTGTGATGCATTAGAAGACAAATCAGCTAGCTGAGGGTTTTCCAGGGTCCTGTAATGGGAGTGACATGTCCCATCAGAAACTGAAAATACCCTCAGAAATTGCACTTAGAGTCTAGACTTTTCTTTTTTTCCAAGTAGAACTTCCGTTCCTGTTTTCTTAGCCATGTTTGACTGTAAAAATCACTTCAAAGAAGAGAGGACATGGTAAAAATTTCAAGAAACACAAAATTACTGTTATGGACTTTTTGAAAAAAAAATGTACCTTTATGCTACTTCAAAAATGTTGAGGAAATAGGTACCGAAGACAAGAGGCTTTTTAAAGTCAAGCCCGGATGCACACTTTGACCACCTCCACATAGTCACATTGCTAGTCCTAAAAGTGGCTCCAAACTCTAAAAATATTTCCCATTACTAATGATAAAACCATCTAAGAATATCCATCAGCTGATGTGTGAGGAAAGGCTGACCCCCACCCCCCAACCAGGGCCCTGTCATCATCCCACCTTTGTGTTTTTGTTTTTGTTTTTTGTTTTTTGAGACAGAGTCTCACTCTGTTGCCCGGGCTAGAGAGCAGTGGCATCATCATAGCTCACAGCAACCTCAAACTCCTGGGCTCAAGCAGCCCTCCTGCCTCAGCCTCCCGAGTAGCTGGAACTACAGGCATGCGCCTCCCCTCCTGGCTCATTTTTTCAGTTTTTTTGTAGAGACGGGGGCCTCACTACATTGGTCAGACAAGTCTTAAACTCCTGGGCTCTAGTGATTCTCCTGCCTCAGCCTCCCAAAGTGCTAGAATGACAAGCGTCAGCTGCCGCACCTGGCCTGTCCCACTTTTTTTTCCCTCCTGTTTCCCGTAAGGTCAGGCATTGAGGATGAGCCCAATCTCCACAGGCTCGGAAGTGCCCGCTCGGCTGGGCCCGCTGTGCTCGACCTCCCTGACCTCCCACAGCTGAAAGCCCTCTGGCCGTGGTCTTCCCTTTACTGGACTGAAAGCAATGTGAGGAGAAGTTCTAGGTTTTGTTGTTGGATTTGGTTTTGTGGTGTTTTTAATTTTATTTTTTACCAAAGCATTTTGTGTGCATAATATAAAAAGCCAAATAGTTTTAACAGGTTCATAATGAAAACCAGCAGGGCCGTATTGCCAGGGGCTTCCACTTCCCAGAGGCAGCTATTTTAGCACTGTAAATTGTTTTTCCTGGTATTAACCTCTATATTTATGAATAATGTAGTTATATTATTTTTTAAAAATTTTGCTTCTATATCTTATTTGTTGATTTCCTCTTTAGGAAGATAAGGATTTAGCTCTAATAATCTTTCTTCCAACCATGTCCCAAGCATAGATAGCCTAACTGCCCCCCCCCCACACACCTCATGTCATAATTTTGGCTACATCAGTATCCTTTTGCATGATTGAGACTACTGACATTTTTTACAGCTGTGCCTTGGATGTTCTTTGGTTATGTTTCCCTTCTAGGCATAGCCCTTTGTTTTTCCTGAAGTTGCTAGATCTTAGTGTTTTATTTGCTTAGTTTCCTATGTATCTATCATAAATTCGGCGCCAGACCCTGAGAGAAGTGTGAATCTCGGCATGTTCACACACATCAGGCAATCTGAGGGTCCTCTGGTTTTCTTAGAGAGGTGACTCGTGGAGCTCCCCGTTCTCTTGCTCCTCTCTGGACTATTGTCTAGGGTGCTGGACGGCTCTCATCCCAGGAAGGCCCTTCGCTCACTATCATCTTCAGAACTCCCTTTCCTCTGTTCTGGGTGGGATCACTAGCTTCCTCTTTCTTGTCGTACTACCTCCTTTGCAGAGAGCACATCCTTTAGCAGGTCTCTGAGAAAGGAGTATGTGGGAAATATATATGTATATATATATATATTTTTTTTTTGAGAACTTTACATTTCTGAAAATGTCCCATTCTGTTCTCCCACCTGATTGATAGTTGTGCTGGCTATAAATGACAAGCTTAAAATCATTCTGAGGATTTTGAAAGCATTGTTCCATTGATTTACAGCTTATAGTGTTGCCATTAAGAAAGCTAATGCCATTCTAATTCCTGATTCCTTTTTTATTTCTGGTAAAATTCTTCAACTTTATTTTCTCAGCTTCTTATTTTTTTTTTCTGCTAACATATTTTTCAAGAGTTCTTTCTTTTTCAGTTATTATTCTTTGTTTATAGCAACCTGCTCTTGATAGATGTATATTTTTTTCACTGAGGACATTATAGTTCTTTGTTGTTGTGTAAGTTCCTTTTTGTTGTTCTATGAGAGGAACTAGAAAATAGTGGCGGTGTGTAAAGGGTTGAAATTTCACTGAGGATATTATAGTTCTTCTTTTTGTCCTTAGATCCCCTTTTATCTGCTATCCAGTGGTCACTTTGGACCAGGTTTGGTCTCCATCTGTTATTTTAGAGACTTTCCTCAAATGCCTGGAGATCTTTGACTGTCCTTATGTATTTATGAGTGAGCACTAAAAACCTGATGGGGAGCTGCATATGTGTAGATAGCATTTGTTTACTGGTGGGTTCCTGTGAAAGCTAACTGGGTAGGAACCTAAGAGGTGCCTCCTTTGGGAATTTCTAGCTGTCAGTGTCTGTAGCTAGTTTAGCATGGGCTTGTTTTTCTGAAGAGGAATCTTCCAGTGACCTGCTGGGTAGCATTAAGTCTGATCCCTGTCTTTCTAGGAGCCACGTGGGGGAAGAGGCTGTGCAATCACTGCTTAATGGATAGAGTCTTGCTGACTATGGGTTGGGTAACCCTTATCTAACATGCTTGTGACCAGAAGTGTTTCAGATTTGAGACATTTTTGGATTTTGGAATATTTGCATTATTCGTACAGGTTGAATATTCCTAATTTGAGAATCCAAAATGCTTTAATGATTGTCATGTTGGTACCCAAAAAGTTCTGGATTTCAGAGCGTTTCAGATTTCAGATTCTCAAATTAGGTATCGTTCAATAGGTATCTATATTTTTAGCATGATACCTTGCCCTGGCTGTCCCTACATTGAAAGATCGCCAGGTTAAACTTTTGGTTTCTTATGGGCGTTGGAGAGAGGATGTTGGGGTAGAACTCCTTTTATAGACTTATGACATTATGTCAAAGATTCCTCCTGTTTTCAACCTCACTGCTCTCCTGCCTTCTGAGGTTCCTGGGGCCACCACTTCCTAAGCCTTTGGGGGGCATCCATGGCACAAGTGGGCTTGCTTCTGCGCCCCACCCTGCCACCACCCTGCCAGTGCTTTGCTTTCTGTAACCTGTTGTTAATGATAAACTGCCCTTCCGCTTTCCAAAGTCCAGGATTTGCTGACATTTCTTGTTGGCTATGTTCTCGTCTCCTTTTCTGTTTATCCATGTGATTTTGTGCCTTTTTATTCTTTTCTCATAATTTATTGGGGCTTCAGAAGGGAGTAGAGCTATAAGCACATGTGCAGCTGCCCACCTTGGTGGGAAGGCCTTCCAGCGTGCCCGGCATGGCACCCGGCACATTCTGGGTGCTCGATAAACGTACGTGCGTGGGCCTTCTCAAACTGCGACAGTTGATTTCAACGTAAGTAGTGACCACCTACATTTTGCTAAGTTTTTTTGTCTCCTGAGGGATTAAAAAAATATGAAATGTAGTAGGCGTGAGAGTAGCAGGTTACTAATAACACCCAGGAAATAAATACTACATCACTGGAAAAAGACTCATCCTCACTGCAAGTTTATTTGTTTAAAGCCATTTTCTCTTAAAATACGTTGTCGATTCCTTTAGAATCACTTCCCAGTTAAGGTCTTCCCATGACTGGTGTTGGGGACTGGAGGGCTCCGGGAACCATCAGCTTTCAGCCAGTTTCATTGGTGGAGAAACCGAAGCCGTACACGTATATAGTCTCCATCTCAATACGTGCAGAAACAAAGCAAAAGAAAAGAAACGGAAGCCGGGGGGTGGAGGGCGGGGTGGGGGAGGTTCGGAGGCTAAGGGTGGAAAATCTGGGCACCTCTCCAGCCTCCGCGGCCTTTGCAGGGCGAGAAGCTCTCGAGGGACTCTCAAGGGGCCCGTGCCAGGTCCTGCGGCCTCCTGTTCGGGGACAGCTTCAGGGCCTTTCTAGACATACCCTGGATAGTAGACAACAGGCCCAATCGACATCAAAATTCCAAGCCAGTATTTAGAGCGTGTGGTTGTCATCCTGATGCTTGAATTCAGTGCCTCCAACCAGGACTCGTTTATTCACTTCACTGGCACGTGCCGACCTCCCGGCGTGCGCACTTCCACACACGGGGATGCCCTGGGGGCCGAGAAAGACAAGGCCCTGGCTTCGAGGATCACAGTCCAGAGGAGAGGGGCTACCAGTGAGTGAATAAGGAAACGAACAGATAGGGTGTTTGCAGATTTCAGATCTGGCGGTGTCATGAGGAAGACAAAGTGGGTGCTGAGGTGCACAGAGGCTGCGCTTTGGGGGTGGCCGGGTTGGGGTGGGCAGAGGGTCCCAGGGGAGGGAGGAGCTGATGCAAAGGCCCTGAGAGCGGCCAAGCTGGGCGTGACTGCAGGACGGCAAGGAGGCCACTGTGGCTGGGTGGAGGATGCAGGTGCCGAGAGGAGCCGCCTGGGAGCTTAGGTGAGTTCTCGCAATGTCAACAGGTGATGTGCTGCCATTGTCACATCCATTTAAGGGGGCCGACGTGTGTGAGAAGGGGCCGGATTTCAGTCCCTTAAAGTCCTCCGGGTCGGACAGGAGGCCGCACACTGCGGCCCAAGTTCACCTGCCCCCTCGGCCCCCACCTGTGACTAATGGTTGTGACGCAGCTCCGCATCCTGCGTCAGAAAGCCCCAGCGCCTCCCGCCTGAGTCACCTGGGCTCCCAGGGGAGGACACACGGGCCGGGGCCACGTGCCGGCCGGCCGCGTCACCAAGCCACACACTGCCGCTCAGCCTGGTGACACTGCTGGGAGATTAAACACATGCGCTTGGAGAAAGGCAAAGAAATAACTTCTTTTGATAACCAGCATCTGTTAGTTAATGGGCCTCTGAGAGCTGTGTACAATTTAAACTTTTTATTAAAAAAAAAAGCTCATTTGCTCTCCTGGGAGTTGCGCTATGAAATTATCAACTGCGCGGCTCCCCCACTCGCCACGCGTCAGAACGTGACTGAACACACAATGCAGAGCATTAATTGTGTTTTGTCTCGTTTCGTACTGGGACTCCGGGCCTGCCTGCTGTCCCCGCGGATAACTGCTCACGCAGGTCTCAGGTGCAGGGTAGGGACCAGGTACAGTCCAGAGCGCAGGGCCGGAGGGTGTGGTGCCCTCGGGCCTCTGCCCCGGCCCAGAGAGCCTCCCTGGCCCCTCGGCCTCTGAAATGACCCTTCCTTCGTCAGTCTGGGCGGCAGTGACCCCTGCCCAGGAGAAAGGGACCATAGCCTTTCTGCAGCCTTCGTGCTTCCTCTGAGCATCCCGGCCCCAGCCAAGCAGCCCGGGGGGGGGGGGAGGCGAAGGCCAGGAAATGTCTCTCCTGCTGCACGCACCCCACCTGAGAGACACCTCCTGCAGGCCCCGAGGGCGGACCAGACCACGCTGCTTTCCCCCAACCCAGTCGAGGAGTCCCACTCTCTCTGGGAGCCAGGGCGACACCCCGAGCCCAATCAGCTGCGAGGGCCTGGACGCCGGTCTCGCTCACGGCCGGACCTCGGGCAGGCCCCTTCCCCTCTCTCTGCCTCTCCACGCTCTCGTGCGCAAGATGCAGAGCATCGTACCCTCTACCCTGCGCAGCTGGGCCTCCCGGGGACACCGCACCTGACACGTGGCAGGGGCCTGTTTGCCAGCCTGGGTGCGAGGCCCGGCAGGGATGGCCGTCCGCGTAGTCAGCCTGTTTACTGAGCTGCCGTCCTCCAGGCACTGCGTGCCCTGCGAAAGATCACAGCGCTGCCCGTGGGGCTCGCCGTCCCGGCGGAGGGGGCAGAGAGTAAACATGAATGCACGAGATCGTTTCAGACAGCGATCAGCATGCCTTATGAAGAGCACAAGGCCATGCGTGATGCAATGAGTCGACAGGACAAGGGGAGGGTCTTTTTCTTGGGATGTGGGTCTCCTTGCAAAGGTGACGTCTGCCCTGAGACTTGAATGAAGGGAGAGAGCCACGATTCTGAAGGCCTAGGGGAAGAGGGTTAGGCAGCAGCAAGGGCATGTGCAAAGGCCCCGAGGCGGCAACAGCCCGGGGGATGGAGAAACAGAAAGAAGGCCGCTTGGGAGGTATGGCGAACCTCACAACAGGGATTTTATTCCAGGAGCAAAGGAAGCCCTGGGGGTTTAAGAAGGGCCGCAGTGGCAGGAGAGCGGAACTGAGAGTGCCGGGGTTTACCTTCGCTGGTTTTATCCTCTTCCACACGTTCTGTAGAAGACACTCCACTTCCTTTCTTTAGAACCATAATCCCCTTGGTTGACTTTAATAACCAGCGAGAACATTTTTCAGGCTGTTTAATTTTATTAAAAGATTCAAATTTGATGATAAATGGTGGCATGGTTGCTCCAAGCCTTGGATACAAGACCTGCTCAGCTGTGGACATATTGCCGACACCCACCGTCACCCCCACCGGGGACTCCCCCCAACCCCAATGTAGTCTAAGACTGTAAATAATCTAATTATTTCTTGTGCTTTGGTAAATATGTCAGGAACACTCGTAGCTGCCTGAGACCCACAGAGAATATTAACTTGGAGGTTATTTTTTCTTTTCTTTTTTTTTTTTAAATAGAATGGGTAATAAGTTAGAGTAATTTCAGCGGGCTGATTGAACCCCACACAGTCTCAGGGAGGACAAGGGCTTCTTTCTGAAAGCATCATTAGCCTCACAGACAATTGTTGTTCAAGATCTGTGATAAGAGCCAGAGATGGGAATCGGAGGAGGAAGGAGGTCGAAGCATCAGCCCACAGTCCTGAAAACCCTCGAGCCCACCAGGACGCCAGCCAATTTCTCGGCATACAGATGAGACCCTGGGAACACAGGCAGGGTCCCTTGGGGGGGCACAGCCGGTCCCCACCAGGATGGCAGCCCACCCCTGCGCAGGCGAGGACACCCCTACATTAGTGTCGTGGCAAGGAGCTGGGCGAGGTGAAGCTTCCTGGCCCCTCGTGTCCAGGCGCTGCCCCTCAGCCTGGCCACCCTGACCTCTGCCTGGGGTGGTTGCGGAGATCAGAGGCCGCGGCTCTCTGTCAGTCAAGCACAGGGAGTCTTGAAAGCAGAGGGCGGCTGTGCAGGGCTAATTGCAGAGCGTGTTAGTGCGACTGCTATCATTAGTATTAATTACTCTCTGAAGGCTGGAAACGCTGTTTTTCTCCCCAGACCTGGCCCCAGCAGCCACCCGGTGCAGGCTGGCATCCGCGTGGGTGAGGGGCTTGGAGGCCAGCTTCCCAGCTCTGAGGGAGCCCTCCCCACTGCAGGCTGGTCCAGGAGGACTGGATTTACCTGCGGTGGTGCTGACAGCTTGAGGTTGGACTCGCAGGGGCACGGGCAGATGCGGGCAAATGCAGCAGCCATGACTCGGGGAAGCTGAGTCGCCCCCAAAGAGACCAGCCCTCCGCCAGAAAGCTGAGAACTACTGAAAGCCCTAAGCCACATCTTTAATTCATGGCCCCACGTTGAGTATGTGTTGCTAGATTCGAATTAATAATCATTAAACAACAACCTGCAGGCTTGGCAGAGCAGCAGGCACTGTCCCCAGGCGCCACCCCGGGCGTCCTGTCTCCCGCCTCACACACTCCCGGGGGTGGGGGACGGGCAGGGACTGTGGGACGGGGCTCGGTTGGACCCCTGGCCAGCGCCGGTCCTCAGACTGCTGATGATGAGGAAAGTAGGGAAACGGGGACTGAGCCTTTGGAAGCCCATCCAGCGCGTCCCAGCCGGGGCCGGCGGACCGGGCCTCTGCAGGGCGCAGGCCTGGCAGGCGTGCGGCTGGTGCGCCGGCCACGCGGCCCGGCTGGGTCCGGGAGCAGCCCCGGTGGTGGCGTGGAGGAGGAGGGGGGCCTTCGCGCTGAGTCAGAGGCGCCCGTGCCAGGCGGGAGCCCGCAGGGTCAGGGGGTCCAGGGAGCCACCTTGCCGTGGAAGGCCGATGTCACGGCCACCAGAGGAAGGCCGCCCCCAGCACGAGGGCCAGGAGGGGCAGAGGGGCCGCGCGGGGGTCCGGGCCCCGGCCGCGGGGGGCCGTGCGCCCCGGCTCGTGCCGCGGGGGCCCCGAGGGGTCGCGCGCGTCCCCGCGGCAGAGCACCAGCGGCGCCTGGTAGGAGGTGGGGCGCTTCTCTGGGGTGTCCGGGCTGGACCCGTCCGTGGGCCTCTGTCCAATGAAGAGCAGGCTCTGCCCCAAGGCGTCGTGCTCCACCTTGAAGAGCTCGTACTCCACGTGCGGGAGCCTGATGCCCAGCGGCAGGCACCCGTTGGTGGCTGTGACGTCCCGCTCGGTGCCCACGGTCCAGGCCCCGGGGCCCCCGCAGCTGCTGGGCTCCGAGAGGTTGAGCATGGCCGCGGTGCCCCGGTCCATGGGCGTCACGTGGGCCCGCGTGACCTCGAACACCAGCTCGGTGGCGCCGCGGACCCTGGCGGACGGCGCGCCCCGGCTGTAGCGGCCGGCCGCGAACACGGTGAAGGTGGGCTGCCGGCAGGCGGGGTCGGAGAAGTGGTGGTAGCGCCCCTCCCAGGAGCGGCTGCGCGCGTGGAAGGCGAAGGCGCGCGTGAGGAACAGCACGGCCGGGCGCACCTCGCAGCGCGCGCTCACCCAGCGGCCGCCCAGCCGCAGCGGCAGCGCCAGCCGGGCGGGCAGCGCGGGCGGGTGGTGCACGTCGGCGCGGGCCACCAGGCCGCAGGCCGGGCAGGGCCGCACGTGGTGCTGCAAAAGGCAAACAGGAACACGGTGGCTGCCCCAGCCGGCGAAGGCAGGGGTGCAGCCGAGGCAGGGTGAGGCCACCATCTGTCTCCTCCTCCCTGCCTCCAGCCGGGACCCCTGCACTGTGCTCTGGTCCAGGCAGCCTCGCTCCCCCGGGCCTTGGCGCCCAGGTCCCTTCTACCTGGAGCTCCCGCCCAGAAGGGCCAGCCAGCTACTCCTCCTTTAGGTCTCAGCGCAGAGCGGCCCTAGAGAGGCCTGTGCTCACCCACGGGAAGCATCCTGTGGGGCCACCACAGCGCCCTCTTTTATTTTTCTCATAGACCCACCAGCCCCACAGTTTTTTTTTCTCCACCCCTCCTACTTCATTAGTAAGTTCTAGAAAGCCCAACTACCTTTCTATGGCTACTCAGGACCCAGGGCCTAGCACAGTGCTTGGCTCCCAGCAAGCAGGTTGTCATTGCATGAATAAAGGAGAGAAGAACGGGGGTGTGGGCGGGCCCTGTGTCTGAGGATTTGAAAGAAGCCGTCCCTTCTCACGCCCAGCCGGCTTGGTCCTGATATCCGACCATTAAGCTTCTCTTTTCCCTCCTTGCTCTCATTACCGCGTCCTCACTCTTTGAGGTCCTCCCGAAGGGCCAGGTGCTCTGCTAAGCGCTTCCCAGGCACCTGCCACATGTCACAGCTGAGGAAGCTGAAACCCAGAGGGTCAGCTGGCCCGCCCAGGCCGTCCAGCCCGGAAGGGTGGAGACCAGCTGCAATGCAGCCTGGCTTAGGCCATGCCTGTCTGAGCCCCCATTTTTCTGTCCCGAAAGCCTCAGAGTGTACCAGGTAGAGACGGGAGGCCTCTTATGTCTGGGAATCCACATTGGAAGGTGAGCATCATTCGCTCTGCCCCCTGGAAGGTGAGCATGGCAACAGGGATGAAAAGCCAACAGAATGCTCGTGCCTTTGGAGCCCGCTGCTCAGCATCTGCCAAGGAGACAGCTGGAAAGCTGTGGAGACCCGTGGCTCAAACACCTTCATTCTGGTGTTACATGACATGGAGAGAACCAGCCACACTCGAGTTTTCAGGTGTAGCCACGGCCCGTGAGTGCCCCAGGCTGGGAACTGATCTTCCTCTATCCTTGGCCTGATTGACAGTCGCCCTGCCTTGCAGATTCTCAGGAGCTGGGTTTACAGTAAAACATGTCAACAGGAAACAGATGCTGAACCAAATTGCGTGGGAGTAGTCAGTCTGCATTTTGGAGTGAAAAGGCGCAGTAGAGGCCAAGAAGGAACCAGATACAGATATCTTATTGTTTTGTTTTGCTTTTTTAAAGGAAGCTGCTGCTCAGAATTTAGTCCAGGGCCCCATTCTGAAAGGTAAATGGCTTTGGAACTGCTACTTGTCACAGCTGACATGGGAATGAGCAAACATCCCCTGCTCTGGGGTCAAGGGTCCGAGCAGGACAGGCCAGGGAGAGGGGGCATTTTGAGGGCCCAAATGGAAAATTGCCTCCAATATATTTTTTCTTGCAATAGAAAAAACAAAAAGATTTTCACAGATCACTGCTCGGTGAGTTTCATGTCAAACAAGTGATGTTGGGAGTTCTAGCTCAGAAAGAAAATATTGGATGATTGAGAATTTGGATTGCCACATTTTAAAAGCTCTTATTATTTATTTTTATCACGAACCCAAACTCTGCTTGATTTCCATAATATAGGAGACCACATTGCTTTTGGTTGGGGGATTTTTGACCCAGAATGCTTAAAGACATGTGAAATGCCAGCAAATGGCTGCAAAAATGTTTGTGACAGAAACAAGCGAGCTGAGTAGTTAGCGGGAGTGTCGGTAATTGGGATGCCGACTGATAAGAGTCTACTTTAATTTAGGCGTTTTAACCCACATTCCGACTGTTGTCACACTAATGTGTATCGACAGGACATAATGCGTTACATCAAAATAATCCCAGGGCTGCTCTTCCCTACTACAGAGAAGAAAAATAGAAAAAAAGAGAAAAAATTAGATACCCTCTGCATGCAGAGAAGACATTGGGGGACGCGAGTTGGTAATTTGGGGCAAGTGGTTTTCTGCATAGCAGAAACAAATTAAGAACTGGCAAGCTTTTAAGGTGAGAGAGGAGATGGAACAGGCATTTCCTTCTCTGGTGCTTTTGAAGGTGCTGAAATAAGATTCCCATCTCCACCAAAAATCTTCCGGGCATTTTTCTGCAGAAGTCCGGAGTTGCACGTGTTAATAAACAAGGCCTCCAGCCAGCAGAATTCACACTTGTGCCGAAGCCAAACTCATACTGGTTTAAGCCTGTTACATAAAGTTATTTCTCAAACAGCAAATAACAGTTTCTAATTAACCCCCAGAGGTGACACCAGGCTCAGATGATTTTGGTGGAGTGTTGGCTGATTGATTAGGATTCTATACCCAGGCAATGAATTTGGGGATGAAATTGGTTTTAAATTAACTTCTAAAAATGTTCATGTTTACCATCTGGTTTGGGTCGTGGGCAAGGCCTGGGCCCCGGAGAGCATAAGGTAACGACTAATTCGTTATTTGGGGATTTATCTGCAGCATTTCCTTCTTTTAAATTATCTTTCTTTCTTTTTTTTTTTTTTCCCGAGAAGGGGGCCAGTTGGTGCGAGGACATTTAATTTAATGCCTGTGCATCTGGCCCTGCTGGTCCCTGCGTACACTTCTATGTGCTTTGCTTCTCGGTCACATTCCAGGCGGCTCTGGCCACCCGGGCTGGCAGGGCGGCAGGGCGGCAGGGAGGGCAGAGACAGCCACAGCCCCAGAGTCCTGCCTGGGGAGGCATGAAATTGTCAGGCTGCAGCCCCCGGGGATCTGCCCTCTCTGCATTCAGAGCACTCTCCCTCCTAATGAGGTGGTGGGGGCCTGTAATCAACTCAGCACCCGCGCCTTCTCTTCTCTAAGCAGGATTAACGCCAGAACAGCCCAGAACATTGGTTGCCAAAAGGGGAATAATTTTGAGGTCATAAAAAGAACTCTGAGGCTGATTTTCTGATTATGAGAACTTCTTGTCTGCTCCTTCTCCGCTACCCAGATCCTGGCTTTGGAGGAGGGGAGGGAGAGGGCGAAGGTGGGCAGGCACCGGGTCTGTCCCACCCCCAGTGTTCCTGCTGGTGGCTCGGAGAAGCGGCTGCTCCCAGGGCTGGGAAGCTGCCCCGGCTGGTTTAGTTCCTTGGGTGTCTAGTACACAGTGGGCACTCAATACATGCTAAGTGAGGTGAGGGCAGCCCAAGGGCTCAAAGAGCGCTTGATAGGGATGCTGAGCTCCTCCATCCCGTTCCCCATTCATTTTCACTTTCAAAAATACTTCGCTGGCTGCTGCCTTGTGCGGCAGTTCTAACCTCAACTGCATTTTCACTAACCTTTAACTAATCAAAGTTAACATTTCTTCCCATTGTGCATGTATGCAGCAAACCCCAGTAGCTTCAGTAGAACATCCGAGTTTGTCACCAGCATCACATAAACAGTGTTGCAGATGCTGGAAACGTTGTTTACGCTTGTCACTGCTTTGACATTAGGGCAAATAATGAATTCATATTCATCGTATTCTTCTATCATCAATTAATGTTTTAAGACTTGGGTAACGTTTAAAATAGAATTAGTTTTCAACTTAAATCCCATGCATTTTGTCTTATGCCTTTAAAACCATTTTTCCGTGGAGGGGTCCTTGGGCTTCACCAGCCACCAGCGAGGTCTCCGTCACCCCCGCACCAGCTACGTTCCGAGCGCCGTGCCCGGGCATGCCACACAAAGTTTCCTCCTGCCTGTTTGCTCATCAGCAAAAAGGGCGACCAGATCTCACCCAAATGAGGACAGTATGTTTGCGACGGCTTCACTTGAAGTCTAACTTAATCAGCTTAAGTGAAATTCACTTGGGAGTCTGGGGGGACCCTCAAAGAGAAGGCGGTTCCCGTCTGACTGCAGCCCCCACCCAAGAGGGTGTCCCACGGACCACCTAGGAGCTTCTAGAAATGCAGAACCCCGGGCCCCCCTCAGACCTGCTGAGACGGACTCCGCCCTCTAACAGGCTGCCCAGGTGATGCTGCGCCGCCAGGGCTTACATGGAAAGGTGCGCCTCGATGGCTCTGCATTCAGGTCAGCAGCGAGGCTCCACGCTGAGAGTCTGATGGGGTGGCGTTTGGGCGGGGGAGCCCTGGAGAAAGCTGCTTTTATGCTAATTGATTCACCAACTTTTATTGGCCCTGATCATGTGCCAGGCCCACTTGGGGAGGCGGCAGAGGCCGGGGCCTTGTGGAGGGTCTGGCACTAGAGCCAGGAGGCAATAAGCAAGTAAACAACAGACCTTCAGGCTGTGCTGAGTGCTGGGACGGACACAAACGGGAAGTGTCAGAATGGGAATAGAGGGGACCTTTGAGCTGAGAACCCAGCGGGGGCAAACCTGCCCCAGCCCACGTGCCCAGCAGGGGCAGAAATCCCCCCCCCCCACAGGGGCCACAACTGAATCTGGAGCACGTGGGCTTGAGAGGACCAGGCTGGGAAGGCCAAACAGTGTTCCTTCCGGAAAAAGCCAGCCAGCCTTGGAAAGGCCTGAGAAAAGATATCGCCAGCAGAGGGAACAGCCTGTGCAAATGTCCTGAGGCAAGCAGACCAGAGTGGGAGGGGCAGGGGCAAGAGCTGGCAGAAAGGGGCTAGGCAGGCACCCGATCACACAGGGGGCTGGGCTGGGGCTCAGAGCTCCCCTCCCAGGGGCCAAGACTCACCAGGGCGCTCTGCAGTGGGCTCTGGTAGCCGGTGGGCCGGTATTGCTGCCTCTCTGCCCAGTCTGTGTGGATGTCCCCCAGGTACAGCTCCTCCACCGGCCGGGACGCGGCCTCGGGCTGGGGCTGCAGGTAGCGCTGCATGCGGACCAGGCTGAGCTCGTGCATGGTGAGGCCCAGGGCCGCCATACAGCCACCCCCGGCCCGGGCGCTCAGCAGCTCATACAGCGCCCCCGGCAGCCAGGCCCGGGCGGAGGGCAGCCGCCGGGCGCAGTCCTGGCCGGCCCGGGTCTTGTTGAGGCGCCCAGTGACATCGAGCAGGGCTTGGTGGCTGTGGAAGACAATGCCCACCTTGTGCAGGTGGTAGTCAGCCTCCGTGGCGCCCCGGGTGACCCAGGAGGCCCGGCGCAGGCGGACTTTGCCCTTGATGAGCAGCGAGTGGGCAGGCTCCCGGCAGAAGGGGTCCCGGTAGTAGAACTGGTAGGCTCGGAAGAGGCGGCTGGGGTAGAAGGTGTAGGAGCGGGTGAGGAACTCCGGTCCAGGCCGCACCTCGCAGCTGCCGGGGTAGGAAGGAGACAGGGTTTGGGGAGGGAAGCGAACACTGGCCCCCCTGGACTTGGCTGCTGCCCCCCAGCCTCCACTCCAGGCCTCCACTCCAGGCCGCGGCTCAGGCCTGGGCCCCGACAGCCTCGGCTGCCCTCACCGCCCTTGGTCAGCCCCACCTTGGGACTGGGGCCTTCCACGCGGCGCCTGATGGCCCCAACAAAAGCCACCTAGTTCTCCTTTCGTCCGCCCCTAATGGCCCTAACCGGGGGCCCCTTTGCACCCTGCTGTACCGTGAGCCCTGTACCGCCTGTTCCTCTCCCCCTCGGACTCCCGAGCCCTTCCTAGGCCCTGGCTGAGTGAATCGGGGTGACGGCTGCTTGTGTGGTGTGTCCCCCTTCGATAGGCTGGCTTCCCCAACCAGGGTCATCCTGTGACTGGGCTTGTTGACCTAAGTCAGGGGTCAGCAAACCTTTTCCACAAAGGGTCAGGTAAGGAATATTTTTGTTTTTGTGCAGCTACTCTAAGTTGCAACCGGAGAGTCACAGCAGCTACAGATGGCGCAGTAGGGAACGGGCGTGGCTGCGTGCCAGGGAGACCCCTTCACAAGACAGGCGCCAGGCTGGGCCCACACTCCGCCCTGCTGGTGGCGCAGACAGGGCCAGGGGCGGCCGCTGCAGGGGGACGGAGGCTAAGTGACGCCTGGTGGGACTCCCCGTCCAGGGCTCTGAGGGGCAGATTTCACCGCAACCGGGCACCCCCTGGCTGCTGGTTTTCTGATGTTTTCCTACCAGGGCTGTAGGACAGGAAGCACCTAGCGCCCTGCGAGGAAATGGCGGTAATTCCCTCTCCTCCTCAGCGTCCCGGGCGCTGACCACTACACGACGGAACCTCCCGTCTTCCGATCTTCCCGCTGGTGTTGAGGACAAAGTCTCCGCCGGGCGCGGCTGTCTTTAGCCCCGGCTCCCTTTCCTCCCGGAGAGAGCAGACGTGCAGCCTTGGGCAGGCAGCAGATCTGGAGAGGGTTTAATTATGTTGTTTGTGGTTATGGAGTTTCTTTTTACAGTGGCCTCTTATTTATGATAAGTGGCTCTGTTCTCCATATCCAGGCTGGTATTATGCTTCCTTTAAAAATAATTCTATTACCCTGCAAATGTGTGGAGTGGTACTGTGTGCTGGTGATACCTCAATAAAGCTATAAGAATAAATGAATATGTTTAAGTAAATAAAAGCAAGTTGGTTTACAGAAAAATAGTAAACAGTAGTATAGGTGGCAGATGCAGACGGGGAGGGGTGACCCACATCCCCGAGGGTCTCAGAGGGGGCAGATCTGCCCAAGGGGACATGGCCGGTCACACTGGACACACCTCGGGGGTTGCCAGACTGAACCTTTTCCCACTCTCCTCCCAGACGCAGCAAGGTCTGCCTGGGGAGCACAGTGGGGAACTTTCTAGAAGTTCTAGAAGAGGTTTCTTAGAAGAGCTGCTCCAGAATGCTGTTGTCTCGGGGCAGGAGCAGCCTGCACCCCAGCTCTGTCTCAGAGCGACCCCGGCTAGTGGGCGCACGGATCCCACCTGGATCACGCAGCAGGGTGGGGGCTGCATGCAGCCGGCAGAGCCTGGGAATGTGCTCGAAGTGGCTTTGCAGAACTCGCGTCCCTCCCTCCACCCAAAGCACTAGCAGATGTTTGGCAGTTGAGTTTCTCCCTGACCTCAGGAGGTAACGTGGAGGACGTGCAGAGGCCAGTCCTTGACCACAGGATGGGACTGGCCCAGCGGGGACGGGGGAGGAGGGAGGGATGGCCAGGTGCAGCGGGGGCCACAGCCCCCTTCTCCCCAACCCCAGCCCTGGGAGGGGGGACTCCGCTGACTGCTATGCGGTTTGTGCACCACAGATGAGGGCAGAGCAGCAGCTGGACCCCTGAAATGTCAGTGAGCCTGTCAGGTAGGAAAAAGAATCGGGGGGGCCTGCCACTTCTGCCTCAGGGCCTTTGCACCGGCCGCACTCTCTGCCTGGTTCTTTCCTTGGCTCTCTGCATGGCCGACTCTCAGCTTTCAGCCAAATGCCACCACCTCCAAGAAGCCACCCGTGAGAACTCTCTAAAGAACGCTCCAGGCCACTTGCTGTCACAGCCACAAATTTATTTCCTTCATTGCGGAGCTTAGCCGTATCTCAAGTTCATATTATTTGTTTCTGTGTTTGCACGTTTAGCACGCGTCCTGCTGCCTGCCCATGCACCTAGCTCGGCATGGGTGCTCAATAAGTGTTTGTGTAATGGGAGCTTGCGGTGCTGAATGAATGGGCTGTATCCATTTGCTGTTTGTGGCTGGGTGAGATGCCCGACGCAGTCCCCGCCTCCCGCTGCACCCTGGGGCGGGGTGGCAAAGAAGGCCACGGTCGTGGCAGGTACCAGCCTCTTGGACAACTGGGTGAACTGCGCCCATTTCACAGACGTGCACACGGAGGCTCAGAGAGGCAGAAGTCTCCCAGCCCAGGGGCCCGAGGTCTGGTGACCTGGGATCTTACCCAGTGGAGATCCAGGGCCCGTCGAGGCGCGGGGGCAGGATCGCAGTGCCGGGCACTCTGTCCGGCAGGGGGTGCTGACAGCGGGGTTCCCAGCGCAGGCGGCCGCCCCCTGCTGCCCCAGCAGCCTCTGCCGTGCGAGCTGCAAAGCAGACGGGCCCGGGTGAGAGACCCCAGCACAGCCCAGGAGCACTGCCCGCCCCACCTGCCTTCCCACCACCACCCGGCCTCCCTGGGAGGCAGCAGGGAGCTGGGGGTGCTGTGCCCCACCTCCACCACAGAGCTCCCCCAGACCCCCGGTTCTGGAGCCAGGCACGGGCCCCTCTGCTGGGGAACCTCGAATTCGATTCCTGACTCACCTCCCCCTGGGTTTCCAGGCGTGCCCACCCCGGGATCCCAGCCTCCTGGCACGGACGGGCCAAGCCTGCTGCCCGCCCCTCAGGCCACTCGCTTCCCGTCTCGCCTCCCTGCTGGGCCTTGGGGTGTCCATCTCTGTGTCTGCGGAGCCCAGCCAGTGCCCGCACGGGCTGGTGCTCAGCCGGTGTGTGGTGAGTGAGTGGGCACAGGGCCCTTCTCGAAGGAGGGCCTCGTCCCCGAGCCTGGGGGCTGGGGTTGGAACTGATGAGCTGGTGGGGGGGGGGCAGGGTCCCGGCGGATGGGCGCAGGAAGCACGCGGGCCTTCCAGTCCTCGCGAGCGACCCCCACATGCGCTCAGCGCGGCCCTGGACAGGAGTCAAGCCGGCCGTGGGACTGTTCCCAGTCTCTTCTAGGCACCGCTCGGAGGCGAGGCCGCCAAGACCTCCAGCTGCCGAGGAGCAGAGGGTCCGCAGAGACCGCCGTCTCCACGCAGGAGGGGCGGCCCGAGACGGCCCAGATGGCGGGATCTGTGGGAAGCTGGCGGCGAGCAGCGTCCGTCCGGCTATCACAGCCCCGGCGGTGCTCACAGGGGCCAGCTCCTGCAGAGGCCTTCCAACCCTGCTCTTCCCACGGAGCCTGCGGCCCGAGCGGGCGGGGCGCGCCGACTCTGGGGCGCTGGGGGGCCTGGCAGAGGCGTCAGCCCCCCGGAGGCCCAGGAGGGGCTGGGGGCTGAGTGGAGAGGGGACGCTGGCAGGTTCTGCCCCTCCCCCAGCACTCGCCGCGCCTTCCCGTCTGGGGTTCGGGAGGCCTGGGGACCCCACGCTGCGCCCTTGGAGCACTCTAACTGGACACCTTGACCCCAAGCTGCCCAAACCCCAGTGGCCTCTCGGGAGAGCGAGGCAGAGTGGGTTCCTCACTTCCCTGGAGGTCGGGGTCACACCTGGAGACTTGGGGTCTCCAGGGGCAATGCTGCCGATGGCGACAGTGGGGTGTCTTCTGTTAAGCGAGCGTGGTCGCCGAGTGCGTCTCACGGTCAGAGCGACGGGCTCCTCGAGAAGGTTCGCCTTACACGGGGTGCGTGCCCCCGAATGTGACAGGGCCAGGATTTGTCCAGGTGGTTGGACTTCAGGGTGTGGTGGCTGAGCCGCGGCTCGTCCTGCATCCCCGCGAGTGCGAGGGGCTGGAGACTTGGCGGAGCGGGCACTCTGCAGACACCGGCCGGAAGGGAAGCCGTGGGCTTTCCATGGTAGCCCGGCACATCTAATTTTGGGGGCGCCCAAGCCCGACATTGCGGGGGGCGGGTGGGTGGGCATCAAAGTCGGGCCAAGTCCCGGCGTGAGCCCACGCGGAGTCCTGAGCCCGACAGCAGACGCACCCCGGCGCCAACACCTCGAGCACTGGGGGGCTTCCGCAATCAACTCCGCCGCAGACACTGGGCTCCCTGGATTCAATTCTGCGGGTTAATTTGAACATCGCGGTGTCAATGAAACCTGTCCGAAAGTGTTGATTCGGAGAATGGATGGAAGCAAAGCGAAGAAAAAGATCAAACGGGGTCAGTGTTATTTGCCTGGTGGGAAAATCGAGCTCACATCCAGAGCAGAATAGCGAATGGGCCCTGAAAATTGTCTTGTCATTGTTTCCCCGAAACTCGGGTTCCTGAGGAAATGTTTTCTGTTCTAAAGAAAACAAGCTCTTTTCTTTCTTTTTCCCCTGTACCCTCCCTGAAGGCCCGGAGAAGAGATGGCCCTTGACATTATATTTTGTCACGAATCCTCAGATGCTATGTTTCTGCTAAGTTGTTTTAGTTTGTCTTGTGTTTCTGCGAGAAATTAGAGTTTAATTACGTCGGGAGATGAAGAGATACAGCTAAATCTCACTGCATTCAGAGCATGTACACACAAACACAAACAGAACCAGAGACCTTGATGAGAACATCAGAGCGGAATATAATGTCGCCTCTTGGTTCTTCCGGAAGCCTCAACTTCAAGGTTGCAAAAATAAAATGAACCAATTATAAATGATTCCATGACATTTTCTCAATTGCATCTTTTTGCAGTAGATGTTTTTATTTTCTTGGCTTTTTCCCCCCTCCCTCTTTTTCTTCCCCCAGGAAAGTCTTAACTGAAGGGCCAAAGAAACAAACAACACTGAAAGCAGATGGTGCTGTGGGCTGGGTTACACAACTTTTTCATAGGGACCTGATAAACTGAGTTAAATACATGGACCAAATTGATTTTTATCAACCATGGATTTTTAATTAACAGTGGTATCCACTTACTGCCATTCATTATTTACTGTTTACCCACTAATTAAAAATTATGCTGCTTTTGCACTCATAAGAGCAGGGACATTTGAAATTAGATAGCATCGTTCAAATTACCTGCAGAATTAAATCTAGAGTGCCCAATTGCTCAGACCAGGCTACCAGAGTTTGAAATATGATCTGCTCCAGCTCGAGGTGTTATCATGAGTCAGAACACCAGGGACAGGCTGCAGGGACAAACACCGAAGAACCTGCCTGGGGCCTTAAGGGGAAAGGGCACTTGCTGAGCCCTACTGAGTGTGGGCACCTGAGCCTGGCTCGGGGTCATACCGTGCCCAGTGCCTCCTGAGCACGTGTCATGGGAGTCCCGTGGTCAGATACGTTATCTGCCTTGTGGCCGTGAGCCCCTCAAGGTCCCGGGGGCGGGAGTAGGTCAGTGCACGGGTAGAGCCCAAGGATCGACAGCTGCAGTCTGCACGGCCACCCAGGACGTGGGTGGTGTCCATGCCCTCATTTTGCAGATGAAGAAACTGAAGTTCAGAGAGGAAGAGGGACTTGGCCATTGTCACTCCTCTACAGGTAGATGCTTCTTGGCCAATTTAAAAAATATATTTTAGGAAAACACAGCTAATGTAAAATGCACCATTTAAGCCACGTTGAAGCGTGCAGTTCAGTGGCACTTAGCACATTCCCAGTACTGTGCAGCCGCCACCACTGTTTCACGCCAGAACATCTGATCACCCAGAAAGGAGACCCTGCACCCGTTAGCAGTCACTCTCCTCTCTTCTTAGACCCAGGCAGCGACTAGTCTGCTGCCTCTATGGGTTTGCCTAATCTGGACGTTTCCCAGAAATGGAAACGGACAGTATGTATCCTCTTCTCATCTACTTTTCACAGCGAGGCGGACGTGGTTGTTCTGCTTTGCAGATGAACAGTGGAGGCGTAGACAAGTGTCACTCCCACGTCCAGGGCCCACGTTCTCTTCCAAGACCACGAGAGGAGCAGGCGTGGACCAGGAGGGGTGAGAAGATGCAACAGGTCTTCACTCACCCCTCCCTGGGAGCAGAGGCAAAAGAAAAGCACTTTTCCTCTCCTAATTGGCTCGTTCTGAGGTTCTCGAGACGAGGCACGGATGCCAGGGTGGGGTGCGAGGCGGTTTTAGGCGCCGTGGCGAGCTCTTCATCGCCCAGCGCCACACACAGACTTTCGAGGGTGTAAAAAGCTGTCGTGGTTCTCACGGCCGACCTGTGCCTTCACGGCCCATTTTGCTGGGGGCTGACGTTTGAAAGGGGTTGATCTGGACTGGATTTTAAAATATTAGGCAGTTTTCAAGCAAATAGCATTTAATAAGCAACTGTATAAGTGACTCGTGGATGCGGTAAATAGCCCCGGGTGGGGCGTGGAAGACGGAAGAAAGAGCGGTGAAGGTGACTTCGTCCCTCCCCACCCCTCTGGAGCACAGAAGGGAGCGTGAGAGTCCCCTGGGGCTGCTACGACCAAGGACCACAGATGGTGTCCCCAAACACAGGGATTTGTTCTCTAACCTCCTGCAGGCTGAAAGTCTCAAGTCTGAAATCAAGGTGCAGGCAGGGCCAAGCTCCCTCTGAGGCTCTAGGGGAGGGTCCCTCCTGGTCCCTTCCAGCGCCAGGTGGCTCAGGCATTCCTTGGCTTGTGGCTGTGTCACTCTAATCTCCACCTCCGTCTTCACACGGCCGTCTCCCTCTCTGTGTGTTTCCTCTGCCTGCGTCTCGGTATCCAAACCTCCCTCTCCCTTCTCCCATGAAGGCACCGACCACCGGGTCAGGGCACCCCCAATCCAGTATGACTTCGTCCCAACTCGACATCTGCGAAGACCCCATATCCAAATAAGGCCTCATGCACAGGTACTGGGGTTAAGACTTGAACTTCTCTCTCTCTTTTTTTTAAGGGACACGTTCAACCCACAACAGATACCAAGGGCCATCCAAAGCCCAGGTGCCCCCAGCAACCTCACCCCCATCGTTCATTCCTTCTGCCCCCACCCGCACACTTGTTGAGTGCCTGCTGTATGCCCAGAGCCATGACAGGCTGCACACGATGGCCAGAACTCCTGTTCTCAGGGAGAGGCTGACACTAATTAAACAGACTCACTCTGGAATATAGCTTCAAACGCTCCCAGGTGTCTCAAAGAAAATTTACACAATAGCCGAAACCTTCCAGGAGTTTCCCGACGCAGTTAGAGTAATGTCCAAGCTTTCTTTCACGGCCTCCGAGGCCCGTGGAAACTGGCCATCTTGCTACCATTTTTCCACCCAGTCACCCACCAGATGCTGCCGCCCTCGTCCACAGCTGGCCAGGCAAGCCCCCGCCGCCTCGGGGCTGTCCCCCGCGCTGCTCCTTCCTTCCTGTCTCTCCCGGTAGGGCCCGTCCCAGCTGGCAATTATTTATCTGATTTTTGTTTGGGGTTTATTTCCATTCTTTTGGACTTCTCATTCTGAAATAATTTCGGACTTACAAAAACATCACAAAAGCGGCAGCAAGAGCTCCAGTTTCCCCACAGGCGAGCTCCTTCCGCAGAGACCGAAGGTGAGCAAAACCAGGACCTTGACACCCACGCCGCGAGTTCTGCCCGTGTTCCCGCTGCCCTCGCCCTTCCACATCTCCGTTAGCCTCTTACGCGCCTGAGGCACTTCCTTTGTTTCCATCTCCCACGACCCGACGATGGGAAGGGGAGGGGAGCCGCCGGTGATTTGGTGGCGTTCCTCAGCCTTGGGGGCGCTTCCCCACGATGCACTTTTGGTCGCAGGACGTGCTGCTGCCCCCTGTTCAGTGCGTCATCTTACGTGACCCGGTCAGCCCGTTCCTGGTGGCGTTGACTGTGATCGCTTGCTAAAGGGGGCGGGTTTCCCTACTATTAAATTACTACTTTTCTCTTCGTAATTAATAATTACCTTGTGGGAGCATACTCAGAGAAAACGGAAGTGTGTTGTATTTCATTGTGCACTCCCCCACTGATTTTAGCATCTACTGATAACCATTGGTGATCTTGCCTATAACAATTATGACTGGTGGTGTTTTCCCAGTGGCCCTTCTTTAGTTCCTTCATGCTTTCCGAGTTTATTGATTGAACTGTGCTGTAAGGAAAGTGCTGTCTCTTGCCCCCATTTGCCTGTTTATTCAGTTGCTGTTTATATTAGTACCAACTCACAGATATTTATCTTATTATACTTTATCAGTTATAATCCATTACTATCATTGTTTATTTTATTTTATTTTTTTGCTCAAATTGTCCCTGATTTGGTTGTTGAGAACACCTCCAGTTTATCTCCTGTGTCCTTTCTACATGGCCTTGCCAGGTTTTTGAAGCACATTCTCATTTCCTGGCACCAGATCTTCCAGGCTCATTTTGCATTTTCTCAGCCCAAGCCCAATGGAATCAATCATTTCTCCAAGAAGCTCTGCTTCCTTTTGTTGGAGAATGGTGTTTAGAAACCAAGACGGGGTGCCAGTGTGCTCACCATAGTGGGGTGTCACTCTAGTCTCCTCAACTTTCTTTCTTTGTTTCTTCTCTTTCTTCTCCTTTCCCTCCCTCGTTCCTCCCTCTCTCCCTCCCTCCTTCCTTCCTTCCTTCCTCTCCCTGTTCCCCCACCAGCCTGCCAGCTCCATGAGGACAGGGTCCTCATCTCTCCTGCTCACTGCTGATTCCTCAGCACCTGGGCCTGGGCCTGGCTGAGGCTCCATATGTATCTGTTGTGTTAAGTCATGGAAAGTACTCAGCACAATGCGTTCATATACTAAGTGCTCAAAAACTGCTAGTTATCATTACTACTGTTAGTTGAATGGATGACTTGGGCTCCGTTAGAGCCCATGTGAGAGCTCCTTGTTGACATTTCCTTCGCCCCCCAGGATGTTAGGGCCAGGCTTGAAGTGGGAGCGGGGAAAGAGAAGGTGACAGCTGTTGGAATTGCTAAGAGCCTGGGAGAGGGTGAAAGGGTGGTCAGTCAGGGAGTTCGCAGCAGGCTGGGGCCCAGGCTGGCCTGAGCAGGAAGACAGGAAGGGGAAGAGGTGAAGGGAGATGCACGTGACCCTCAGATCACACACAGGGCTTAGATGAGCTGGCTCGAGCCCAGGAGCCTGACGCCAGGTGCTCTGCGTTTGTTCACTCTTGGAACCTGCCCCAGCTAAACCGGGACCCCGACCCAGTCCCATACTCCTGGGGGAGGTTCCTCTAGCTCCGTGGCATGGTCCAACGCAAACAGAACACACACCATAAAGAAACCCGCCGACGTGATTTCCGCGCGCGACTGTTTCCTGCAGGCCCACGTACACAAAGCTAAAGCAAACAGGCTGAAGTTTTAATTTTAACAGTGTCTGTCATGCCCGCCCTCACATAATTACCATTTCACCACGGTAAAAACGATATATAAACCTATTAATGACGATATTTCGTATGCTTGTTCTTATACCCAATTTTCAAAATTCGGTGTATATTCTATTAATACCTTTCGACAGCAAAGCCCATTTAGCACCCCCGCGGCCATTCTCAGGGCCCACGTGCCCAGGTGCTACTGCGACCGGGAGCCGGACCAGCACGAAGCTCCAGCCGCAGGAGTGGGCGGTGTGTGTGTCGCCATTTGTGCCCTGTATCAGCATGTTCTTCAAGTTTGGTTTCCTGAATGCACCCCGGGGGTTATGTTTTTGGTACAGAGTGGAGCCCCAGCAAGTGCGTCCTAGTCTCCTCACCCCCCGGCTTTGGCCAACGCAGCCCCTTCCCCCTTTGCCTCTGGTTTATATACCTCGAAATTCTGTACAGACTTTCGCCCCTTTTAAAAAAAGGGTTGGTATTTTTTTTTCTTTTTTAATCTGAAATACCCTCCTGGTTTATTTCCACAATCCTCAGCTGAAGGTATATTCCCTATGAATAATTTGGGACTTGGAAGCTGACGCATATTTTACATAAAATTTCAGAATGCGATCCAGCGCCCGAAACAAACCCTCCCTGATCTAAGGCAGCGCCTCCGTACACAATGAGAGCGTGGCGTGATGAGCTGCCCGGCAGCGAGCCTGCGAGGCGGCTGTTGAGAAAAAAATGGCAGCCGTCCACGTTGCCGACAGCAAAAGGAGTGGCTTCCCCAATGAATCAATTGCCACAAAGGCACGGCAGAGTTCCATGAACTCCCCTGAGAAGGTTGCAGATTGGCATGCTATGACAGTACCAGAGAATCACACAAAGATGAAAGACAAACTCTGATTCTAAGGAGCCCCAAACTCCCCCCTCCGGCGTGGGCGGCTGGTCCTCAGATGTCCACCTGTCTCCATCTTGACATGAACCTCCTCATCCATCTAACGCGACGCTTTTGTGTTCTAGGGGCCGGCAGGGGCGGCCTGGGGGCTCGGGGCTGTCCTGGGAAACGCAGACAAACGGCTTTGCGCTAGGAAAAGGCGCACGTGCCGCCCGGCAGCCTTTCTGCAAGCCCGCCTTGCAGCCGTGCCCGCCCTGTGCTTGGTGGGGCCTGAGAGCTGGGTCCCCGAGGAGCTCAAGACAGGCTGGGCACCGGGCAACCAAGACGGGCGCGTGAAGGAGCACGAGGGCCTTCCGACGGCGGAAAAGGTGAGCCTGGCCTGGCGCCTCCGGAGCAGGCGACCGTCCTGTGTTGCAACGCCAGCGCGCGGAAGAGCTCCGCGAAGGGAGCAGCTGGCCGGGGAACACCCTCCGGCCCACGCCCTGCTGGGGGAGGCAGCGGGCGCTCACGGAACGGGAAGAGGAGCGGGGTCGGGAGACAGGATCTGCCCACCACGCTGGGCGCTCCTCGGCCAGGTTTTTCTGTTTGCTTAGGAATGTCCCAGAACAAAACCGTTCCACATCGAAACTCTCCCTCAGCCCCCATGATAATGCTAATTACTCTCGCTCTGGCGGGGTCTCCACCCAGATGACACCGAAAATTCCAGCCAAAGCCCAGCTGTTGCGAAACAGCCAAGGCATCAGGGTGATTGATGGAAGTTTTTCGCTCTCCCTCCAGATGTTCTGGTGTCTTGGAGACAGACCTCATCAGCCCGGCCTGGCGCCCCGCCTCCCAGCTGCCGTTGGCCCGGAGACACGCGTAATTTATGCCGGGTTTGGTCAGCGCCGTGGGCAGATGCCAGCGTCCCACCTGGCGCTTTCCGGAGCGGGCCGGGGGAGTCCGGGGGCTCCCGCGGGCCTTGCGGAGCGGCCTGGGCTGCCCTAGCGCGGTGGTTACAGGCAGTGTTTGCTAAACAGAGCGTGTGGCTAGGAGTCTCCGCTGGACGGACTCCCTGCTACTTCCCTTGGGCTCAGACTGGAGCTTCACTGGCGTGCAGAGCGGGCACTTGGCGAGAAGGAAGACGCCGGCCAGGTGGCGGCGAAGCCTCCCTGCAGAACCCAGCACAGGCGCCCAGGAGGAGTCTGGGGCGGCACCTCGGGGACTCCAGGTCCACACGGGGCCTTGGGGACTGGCCGGCTCTCCACCGGGTCTCCCCCAGAGGGCCGGGTCGTGCCACAGAAGTGTGCAGGCTCCGAGGAGGGAAGGAGGGAGGGAGGCCCGAGGTCTCCGCTGAGTCTCTCCGGGTCTGAGCCCGGTGGGAAGGTGTGAGGGGTCACGGGGGCAGCAGCCCGGGCCTGGGGAAGCGCACCACCGACGGGGCTGTTTGGGGGAGTCCCCACAAGAGGGCCCTCGTGAGCCGCGGTCGGGGCGGTCGGGGCGCCCGGGTCGGAGCCCGGCGCGGCCTCCTCGGCCCCCGCGCGCCGCCGCCGTCGGAGACGGGCCAGGAAGGCGGGCGCCGGCCGCGGGCCGCCCTGTGCCCTCCGCGGAGCCCGTGCTGCGGACCGACGCATCTCGAAGGTGAGGCCCGTGCAGCGCCTGGCCTGGCTCCGCGCGCTCGGGGGTCGGCGGCGCCTGCCGCGACGGCGCGGGCCGCAAACGCGGGGATCCGAACGCCCGGCCCCAAAGACGCGCGCGTGGGGCTGCGCCGCGACGGGGAGCGCGGAGACTAAACGCAAGGAAATTATTGTAATTTAACACACCAATTTTTCTTCCATTGCGTTGAGATGAAGTTCGTGGTCTCTTTCATACATTCAAAATAAGGAACTTGCCTCGAATGCAATTTTGCGGGAAAACCTACATCATGTTTTGAAAAACCCATTTTGTTAGGAGCTACCAGACTTTAAGAGAAATGGTAATATTTAATGGCGGCATTATTTTACCGTCCAGAAAAATTAATGTACTTTCGGAGTTTCAGGAGAAAGGCCCGCTGTAAGTCCAGACCCTATTTTTAAATTACCATACAAATAGAATCCCAAAGACGCAGACACTGGCTTAGGTGTTGCACGCGCGGCGCGGGGAGTCGTGCAGGCTTCCTGAACGGCAGGTGAACAGGCCTGCGGTTCCGGCCTCCCCTCGCGACCCTGGGCGCGCGCTCCTTCCCGAGGAGGACATAGTGCACAAGGGGACAAGATCGCACTAAACTGGTGACCACAGAGGGTTAGTCGTGGGCTCCGTCAGCCCACAGTTACGCATCTGCTCCACCCGCAGGACAGCCCCTGGGGCAGGTGTCGTCACTGCCGGGTCTCGGACAGGAGGGGGTCTGGGGGAGAGCCAGCCTGGCCCGGTCTCGCTTCCGTCATGCAACCCATGTGGGGAGAGGCCCCAACCCAAAACCAGGTCTGGTAACTGTAACCCCCAGCCTCTTTCCACCTGCTCTTACAGCCCCTGGTCCTGGCTGCACACTTATTGAGCACCTACTGTGTGCCTGGCCATGGGGCTGCAAACATATGCTTCTCCAAGGGCTCAGGGCCTGACATTCTGGGCCAGGGGTTCGGCCAGGCTGGGCCAGTGTGCCAGAGAGCACGCAAACGGGGGCCCTCAGGAACCTCGCCTGCCTTGCAAGACGAGAAGCTGCTTGACAGATGGCGAGAGGCGTAGCGGGTACTCCGAGCAGGAGCTGCGCAGGTAGCAGGGAGGTGTGAAGCAGCAGAGAGAGGACAATTAGTCCCTGTGACAGTGGCCTGCACGGAGGGTTGTCATGGGGAGGGTTGGAGAGGGAGGTGTCGCCAGGCGCCTGGGGACATGGAGTGGCCTTCGGGAAGCGGGGGCGGGGGCGGAGGCATGAGATCAGGTGTGCGCTTGGAAGAGCAGTGTTTTCCAAAGCGCCGTGCCTGCTGGGTGGCACTGCCCCTGATTCCAGGGTCGTCTGCGGTGGACATTTCACAGCGGATTAGTCTCCTGTCTCTTTCGACTCAACTCGATAACTGATCCATCAAGCCTGGGTTGGTGTTAGGCACAGAGGCATAGATTATTTTTAAAAGCAAGTGAGAATGCATTGATCTAGAGGGAAGCATCGACTCAATTGTAGGACAGTAGCAAACAGATGTGGCCAAATGGCCAAGTGGCACGTGGGGACAGGCAGTTGGGGGCCAAGGGGCTAAGTCCCCTGCCAGCTTGTGTTAACGATGCGGTAGTGCACATGTGCGGGTCCCGGGGAAAGAGGGACCTGAGGGGACCTGCGGGTACCACTTCAGTTCCCGGGTGAGGAGGCCAGGCCGCCGGGTGTCGAGGTGCACCACTGGAGACCGGGAGGACACCCAAGAGGGGAGGGGGTGCAGGTCCTCTGTCTGGGGGATGAGGGGATGGGGTGCCGGTGGCTGAGATGGAGAACTGGGGAGGGGTTCCATTTTCAGGGTGTGCATTTTGAGCACCGAGGAAGAGCACGCGGGTAGGACCAGCCACCAGTCCACAGTGCACATGGGGCTGTAGAAGGTGGCCGGGGCCAGAACCCCCAGGGAAGCAGCTCTGGGGGGCGGGTGGGCACAGAGCCTGAGCAAGGACACTCCGGGAGGGGCAGAAGCACAGGGAGCAAGTTGTTTCCTGAGTAGGGTTGCAAATAAAATACAGGATGCCCAATTAAATTTGATTTCCAGATATACAACAAGAAATTGTTTTAGTATTAGTGCGTCCCCAATATTGCAGAGATGAGTGTAGGAGTTTGGCTGTGGACAGAAAAGAGAGGCAAAACCAGAGAGATTTGTGAGCTAGATTGTGGTTAATGGTTTAATTATTATTTTTATGTAAGTTCTTTTATGCCATGCACAGGGCAAAAAAAAAAATCAGAAAATACAGAAAAGCATGAAGATGATTTAAAAGCTTATGCACAATCACCTCACCCACAGTGAGCTGCCATTAACCTGCTGGTACACACTGACCTCGAGATTCGTGAGTCCCGGCCGCTGGGAGGCTGGGCAGAGGGACTGCACTCCCCTCTGAACTTCCGTGTCTACAAACAATGCCTGGCCTCTGGTAGGCAGGCAATGCACTCCTGTTGAATGAATAAACAAATCTTCCTTGACATTTTTCTTTTTTATACACACAAGCATTTATTCAATTATTTTTATAAAAATGGGATCACCCTATACACATTATTTGAAATCTATTGTTTTAACTTAATAATAGATTTTAGAGGTCTTTGTGGAAGGTTGATTTTTTTTTTTAAGACAGAGATACTAACACATTCACAGACTGTTCGCAGTCTGCAGGGGAAGAACCAGAGATGATGAAGTGGCAGAAGGAGACGCAATAGCTAAGGGAAGCAAGTGCCCTAATCAAGAAGAGTCCAATAAAAACAGGCTACACTCCTCAAACAAAAGCAATATGCAGCTTGCAGTGGAATTTTCAAGATGTATAAAAAAGGTGTAAAATGAAAAGTGCAAGTTGAGTTCTACCCTGAAGCCCTGGTTGCTTCCTCCAAAGTGAATCACTTTAACAGTTCCTTGTGCATCCTCCCAGAAAATGGTTTCATGCCGATCTCTGCATATAAATGTATATGTTTTTTATTTGGCTATTAAAATTTTTTTATGAATGCAATCTTTCTATACACATTGTTCTGCATTTTGCTTTTTACACTTAAATTATCAGAGATAGTTTTCCATCTCAGACTTATTTCTTTATGGAAAAGACAAAATAGTATTGCATTATATAGATGCATCTTGATTTAGTTAACCAGACCTCTGTTACCAGTTGGGGTTGTGGTCAGTTCTTTGTGTGTGTGATCATCAAAAACAACAATACGTTGGAGATCCTTTTAAGTATATCTTGGTGTAAATTTGTGTGTGTCCACTGGAGAAATTCCTAACAGAGGAATTTTATGTGTGTTTAATATGTTGACAGATTTGGCCACATTGTCCTCCAAAAATGCTGTTTCAATTTATCCTCCACCACTTATGTATGAAAGTACCTGCGTCCTTAGACCTTTAGCCATGCTGCATATTATCAAATAGAAAAAGCAAAATCTCCATTTTTGCAAGTCGAACACACGGAACACTGGCAGAAAAATGACAAGTTAATGAAGGTTTGTGGTTAATCACACATTTTTTGTGCCTAACAAACAAGGGGCATGAGTTAACAAGCAGATACTCCAGTAACTTGGACTCACACCCTTCTGTTTATTTTCACTGCCACCGCTCTGGCTCAAGCCACCATCATTTCTCAGATGAAAGACTGACAGGGGCCTCTCGCTGTTTCCCTGGCACCACTCTGGACCCTGTATTTCATTCTTCACGGCGCAGCAAGCATGATCTTTAACAAATGCAAATCAGCATTCTGCTTCTGCAATATGGCTATCTGAACATTCTGAGGAACTCCTCCACTGGGCATTATTAGGTTTGATATAAATTATATTTATTCATAAAGTAGGGAAGACTCTGGCTCCCAAAGTGAGCTGAGGAGGGATCCGTGGAGCCCATCCTGAGGGCAAATGTCAATGTCAGCTTTGCCTGTAGCAGGAAATTAGGGGGACCAAGGGCTACGGTGCTGGTTGCTGGCACCCCTTGGCTCCTGGGAGAAGCAAATATGAATGATCTCTTGAGGAAAGCATTATTTTTTAATTTTTCTAGAGACAGAGTCTTGCTATATTGCCCAGGCTAGACTTGAACTCCTGGGCTCCAGCACTCCTGCCACCTCAGCCTCCCCGAATAGCTGGGCTTACAAGCACATGCCACATGCTTGGCTCACTAACATTATTATTTTAGAGTCCAGGATTTTCACAGATGAAGATCAAACAAATATGGGTTCTCAACTAATGATCACCAAATCAACAAGTAAACAACCCACTATGAAGTAAGAATTAGCGAAAAAAGAAAAATTACAATCCAAGAACATCAGGTATTGGAATTGTCTATCACAGGATACAGAATAATATGAATGAAATGTTTAATGAAATAAAATATAGAATTTAAAAAATGAGCAAACAACATGAGCCTATAAAAATGATTAAGTAGATTTGAAAAAGAATCAAATAAAACTTTAAGAAATAAAAACATAATTGTTGAAATAAATATAATTGAAAAAAATATAATTGTTGAAACAATATAATTGTTGAAATAAAAACTTAGTGGCTGGTTTAGGGAGCAGATTAGACACAGTTGAAAACGAGATTAGTGAACTGGAAAATAGATGTAAAGAAATTAGCCCAAATTTAGGAAAGACTGAGAGGAGGTTGAAAACTAAGAAAATGGGGTTAATACACATAGTAGCTAAAATGATAAAGTCTGATTAATGTCTTCCAGAAGGAAGTGTGTTGTGTAAGTGTAGGATCTATAGGAGTCCCCCCATCTGTGGTTTTGCTTTCTGAAGTTTCAGTTACCCAAGGTCAACCATAGTCTGAAAATATTAGCTGGGAAATTCCAGAAATAAACAATGTATACATTTCACATTGAGTACCCCTTTCTGAGTAGTGAAATCTTGTACTGTCTCTCCTGGGGTGTGGATTATCCCTTCGCTCCCCATATCCACACAGGACTCACTACCTCCCCTGTACAACTGCGTATAGGAAAAATTATGGTAC